TTAAGTTGCTATATGTATTAGATATAAATTATAGCACACAGGTGACGTAACGATTGAATACGCGCTTAAATTTAATTAAAAAGGGATTAGGCTCATTACAGCGTTCCATATATGCTGACACGTTAATATTTTCTTTACAGTTTTTTAAAGGCACACTGTATACATCAGAGCTGATTTTTTCTTCTTAAAAAAACATTAAATGATTTTTAATTGTTTTAGAGCGTGTTAGATACTAATCACCTGAACATAGTAGCACGGAAGGGAAAACTATTTGTTTATAAAAGTAGCAAAATGTAAAGAAAGTAGATGTTATGACTTCCATAAAAAATATTTAATCACAATAACTGTACTATAATTGTTAAAAAAGTAACAAAAGCAATAAATAGTTTAGGTTTTGGCCAATTAGTAATTTTATGTAGACTAACAAGGACATCAAAAATAAAAAAAGCTTTAAAGCATTTTTGAGTCATAATGAGCCTTAAAACAGTCTGTAAGCCATTGTCACAAATGAAATGGTAAAACCTCTAAACGCTTCCAAAACAAGACAAAAATATAACGAAGCGTGTACATAGCCGAATCTAAATCATCTATATCATCTACCTATAATGGACTAGTTTTTAACCAAAGTACGTTCTGCTTTATATACCAGACTTAGTTTGGCTTACATGTTAGAACTGCAGGTAATTTTATTCATTATAGAAACGTTTATCCAATATCCACGGGGGAGGAAGTGTTACACGAAGGATGGAGTTCTTATGATAACTTGTTTGGAGTTCTTATGATAACTGTCACGGAGTTCCTGGAAAACGTTACGAAGATCACAAATGAAAAGGTCAATATGTACGAATTAGCAAGTAATTTGGTATTTTTTCTCAAAACTACCAGATTTTTTTTAAAAGGCGACAAAATATGGACTAAAAGATTTTTTCTGAAACAAAATACAATATGTAGGGCAAGCTTAATTATCAAAAGTAAATTTAGCACCTCAAACTCCCCATTTAAAGTTAAAAATAACCATTTTTTACGCGAGTTCTCCAAGTATATAGAAAAGTTTTCCACAGAAATCCGTAACGTTTTCCAGGAACTCCGTGACAGTTATCATAAGAACTCCAAACAAGTTATCATAAAAACTCCATCCTTCGTGTAACACTTCCTCCCCCGTGATATCGTATGTGTTATCTTCATTTAAATTTTAACGGAAACGTATATAAATGTACATGTATATTATATCTAGATTAAAAATAGTGTAAAACATATTTGAACTTAACGTTCATTTTATTCAACATGTTGATATGCACGTGGTTGTTTACTTGTACTGGAAATGTGAGCATATTACTCGAAATAAGAGAAAACAAAGCTTAAATTAATCTTGGAACAAAGTTTTAACATTAGTTACATTAGCATTCTCTACTTTTGCAATACTAGTAATCTTTATGGCAATTGTGGAACTTTCTTTTTATTATAAATATCTATATTCGATCATGGAATTGCCTTTTAAGCCTTATTTTAAACAAGTGCATATGTACAACATCATTTGAAGTACAATAAGACCTTTAAAGGAGCTCCACTGGGCTCAAAAATCATAATAACGTAAATTAAGTGAAGCACTTAAGGTGTAACAAAATGGCAAAAAATAATAAAAAAAAAATGTGCTCAATTTGATTTTGTGTTCGTTTCTTAGCCCGATATTTTATTGTATTTTTAGGTTATTTTGCACAATAAAAATGATGATTCTGGAAAAATGGGAAGATAGAAAGATCTGAAAATGTGCATACATACTATTGGACCAGACCTATTTAGCCATATAAGGTATGTTCCAACGATAAAGTTGTTCACTTTCTTTCATGGCAATATCACACCACAAAGTGTAAGAGCTCCTGATATCATCAATATATTTTGTTTTAATGTACTCAGCTCGTAGGGCCTCCGATTACCGATCAGACAATCTGCAAATATTTAACGGACGGGAAACCGGACGCTGGGGCTCTTTCCATGTTCTGGATTGGCTGGGAGATCACTATATTGCTATGAGACCCCAAGTGATGAGAACTATTTCAGATTTTTCCAGAGCATGACGCCAAAAAGATTTGTATGAGGTATCAAATTGAACTTCATATTTGGATAGATCTCATGCAGGAGAAGTGCAGTGCGCAAGAATGATAACCCCACCTTTCATGGGTTCTGAATTGTTACCCTTGTTTATCTATTATTTTTCATTTTTTTACCGAAGCATAACTCGAAAGTAATCCATATCAAAATCATCTCATACACCATCTCGCCTTTTTTCATTTCCTGAGTCAAAAATCTATATTGTTTCTGTTTAGCCACGTTTTTATTTTCTCGTACACATTGTTGAACACAATTCTGATTCTATTGAACTAGTACATGTCTGCAAAACTTATATTGGACGAGGCGATAGGTTTGACAGTTGTAATACCCCTCTTAAATATTCAGTAATATACCCAGCAATGTATAATACATGCAACATCATAACATTGGCCGCTCAGACGGTCACTTTACTTTTTGGTCGGAATGTTGACGTCCACGTTAATATATTAAGATTTAAGGCCCTGTCACCCGCTGACCCGGATATAAATAAAGAAAGAACACATTTATATAAAGTATTATATTACAAAATAGTATGCCAGGTACTTGTTATGCAATAGAAATTAAAGTATAAACTTACAAAAACTACCTACAAAATATAAACTCATTTAATACATAGAGGATATTGAATGAGTGAGTTGAATAAAATTATGTTATGCGAGCCTGTGACGAGCATGGTACTTTCTTATTCAACGAGTTCAATAAATTTAGTATTGAACCTAAACGAATATCATATTAGTTTTTATCACATACCCACAATAAAGACTGTTTAAAGCGTAAAATTACATTTTTTTTCATTTACGTGCCTATACTAAAACGCAAAAATTTAGCGCGTCTTTACAGTTTACACTGTGATTAAAGTGGTTAACCACTTCTTCTTCTAGCTTATGCTTAATGAGGCTCCATCCGCCCTTTCGGGCACAAAATGCAGCTTTCGCTGTCGAGTACGGACCCCGGACATGTCACCAGTCATGCCCTTAAAGAGGTAATTTATAAGCACAAAGTGGTGATAATTTACCTCCATGCAATTTCCACGGAGTATTAGCCAAAGATATACATTTCGAGCCAAAAGTAGGTCACTGTACGGCGGTCAATGAGAACCTAAATGTACAGTAACCTGTGACAATATGAAAGGTTAGCCCTGAAAAGGGCTGTTGGTGCCAGCAAAAGGGCTGCCTTACAAGCCGTCTATCTGTACTAGGGGCTCACGCATCCTAGCACACCATCCTTGTCCTCTCAGCCTACTTTGTAGGGCCATTCCCATCGGCATTAGTCAGGACACCGGCAGCTGGTCCGCAGTTGTTGACGAGTAACGATCCCGTTGCTACAGCCTACGGGGGCTTCTATTTAGTCGAGTTGTGTTTGTTACCAGCCAAGCTGTAAATCTTCTGCCGATGCCCTGTGCCTTCTCAGCGACGAGCACGCTCCGAGGGAAAGTGAGAAGAGTGGTTAACCCCATTAAGAGAAATTATATATATATGTATATAGTTATGCTAATAAAACACTTTTCAAACATCAAAGAATATGTAAATTATGTACTGCAAATATTTGTGCATATTATATGTAATCATTAAAATATATGCATTCATTTTTATTGGAAAATTTGACCTAAACTTTATAGAAAATAAATTTCTAATTATCTCCCTTTATTTTCAATGTTAAATTCGGTAATATCTTTAAAATAGTGCTTTTTGGAACCGAAAATATTATTTAATTTGAGCATCATATTTATGATTTAAAACCTCAAAAAATTCTATTACAGGTACTTTAAAGCAAATGACGGCATTACATGTCAAAATTTGTGCAATTCAATTTTTACGGAGTCGTAAAATCGGGAAGAGGTACGTGATAAACACTTTGTTTGTTTATCGCAAATGACGTCACGTCAAAATATCTACACGGTCGTGCAATACCGTTTTTACGGAGTCGCAAAATCGGCACGGGTATGTGATAATAATACATATTAAACTTTAAAAACAATACGAATTTTACCATTTAAGAAAGAGTACACAGCATACAGGAGGTCAAATAACATTATAGTGACCGATCATTTAACGTACCGAAACAGAAGGCTCAGGTCCGTTCAGTGTTTGGGCTGACTCAGAGGTTACTATAATGCTATGAGATCCGAAGTGCAGTGTGCTGTTTCTTATATTACACCACACTGTACAAGAACATAAAAATCAACCAGGAAGAAAATCATATTGTTTGAATAGCAAAATTTCTATAAATATGTACCGGAAACTATTAATAGTCAGCTTATATATCGTGCGTTTTGTTAAATATTCCCCGCGGTTATACGCCGCTAAATTTTAGTAGTCCGAGTGGCCACTCAGGCGGTTCCTCGGACCGCTGACGTCATCGCGAATATTTTAACCCGCTAACACTTAAAGATATACTATGCTCAATTTGATATTTGAAAATATTGGTAATTACTACACGGTCCTTTTGTAATAAGGGTTTTTGAAATAAACACACTTTGACTTCAAACAAAGTAGATAAGCTACACACTATAAGTCGACACATTATAAATATGTAGTGTCATTAAAAACTGGCAGTTTTTTTAAGGAAAGGACTAGCTTTACTCGACTCCTAATAAGGAACGCAGATTCCCATATATAATTTATTTCTTCTTTTATCAAATAAGACATATTCAGTAAGATTTTTATTGATTTCAATTAATTTCTGTTATAAAAATATTTTTCTCAGAGATGAGCATAATATATCTTTAAATAAAGAATGAACACAATTCAATAAAATCATCACTGTACACTTAAAACAACAAGTGAACATATATATATATATATATATATATATATATATATATATATATATATATAGATATATATATATATATATATATATATCTGTGTGTGTGTGTGTGTGTGTATGTATATCTTCTTTTAACTTCTAAAACACGATGAAATTCAACTTTTTAATATAATTATTTCAAGTCTGTCATTGTGTGTTTTACCACGAGTTACAAGTGAAGAATATTTTCAAATATACATGGCCTATATAAAGTGAGCATAAAATCTATAGGTTGTACGTATCAAAATTGTTAGATCTACAGCTTATATAATATAATAATAAATTTGCGTATGAGATAATTCTATTTCTAAAATCATCAACAATAAACAGAACAAACAACAAAATCCAAATAATTACATGATAAAGATGATTATATCCAGTGCAGATGAACTCAATTTCAACAACTTACAGTTCACATTGTATATTAATTGTTCTTCCATTTTTTACCAATGTTAAGATGATAGTCATAAATAAGAAAGAAAATATCCCTTAATATGCTTAGAATATAAATGTTTTTATTACAGCTTTTCACAAAAAGAAGCACGTCTATTTCTTTGTATACTTTAAATACGTTTCTAGCTATTTCACTTGTTCAAAACAGTCACTCAATTTACTTTCTAATTCTTGTGTTTTATGAACAAGATCAATTCGAGAACCAGTTGCAAAATTTCCACGAAAGTCAGAGCAGACGCGCCAAGGAATAACCCCATCGTACCTCCTATATCAGATAGGAAACGAACGGGCTGCAAATACAAACGTAATTATATAAATCACACTTAGTCACATCTTATTATTTGGATTTGATAAAAGAAACATATATTTCAAAAGTTAACGTATATTTTTTTCACAAACTATCAATTTAAACTATCTTAAGACATATAGTTTTACTTAGTCATCTTAATGTTTCATACTACTAACGGCGACTTATTCTACCCATGTGACCTGTGCATACCAAGATCAGTAAGAATATCTATATCTGATCACGGTCTGTAGTGTTCTCAGTTTGGTTCGTACATCTTTTTGAAATCTTCCCTAAAAATGATGAATGGTTCTGTCGGTATTGAAAGATGGGCAAGTCCATTTGAAATAATTAGCATGACAAGGGTCATAGGAAAATGATAAAGTTCGATGTTATAAATTATACTCATACTTCATACAATGGTTCCTCCTCGATTAATTCATAATTCAAGTCTTCATAGTATATCAGAACTCGTAAAAAGTTGCGCCTATATCTACAAAAGAGGCAAATTGATATAGATAATTTGCTTGAATACGCCATGGCTTAATCACAGTAAATTATAAATTACATGTAATTGATATCATTTAGTTTATGATGCATGGACCGCACAACACGAATAATGACTTTTAGTATAAATTGGCGCCATTTCAATACAGTCTCTATAGTTTGTGTGCAAAACTGTAGAATACGACCAACGTACAATTTAATTGAAAAGACGTATTCTTAAGCAAATATGAAACATATCACACTTGAGTATCATTTATTTTAACATTCGCACGAAATTACTTAATTCTATCACATCTGAGGTATATATTCATATTTACTAAAAGTAAACACACATTTTGTATGCATTTTTAATTCATACTTATCGAGTTCATGTGAAGCTAAGTTCTCCATATCGGAACAAGGAGCCTTCCAGAAGTCTGAATCTGACTTATTGTTACACACCTCTGTTATCAACACTTTCTGCAATATAGTGGACTCATTTATTTCTTCAAGACATTCATGAAGACATGCAAGGTGGTTAAACTATTTTTGATACATTGTTCAAATAAATGTTAGGATTGCAAAGACATTGCCTAATAAAGAATATAGTTTTGCCCATGAATATGTAAAGAGATAACAATCTTATACATGCATGACATTCATGCAAATAACGTAATTTCAGGACAGCTTTTGTGACAACATAGTGAATATACATACCAGATAGTCATCTGAAGGCCAGAAGGTGGAGGATGTTGTCTTCGTGAAAACAGTCTCACTGATAAAATATATTTCGTTTATTCATAAATTAAACATCTAATAAATCATAAGCAAATATGTTTGCAACTATTTTTTATTATTTTGTTATAATTAATGAAATGAAAAATTTTCTGTTTTCTTATTTATAAATGACAGATCAACTAAATTCGCTTATTAATCTTCTATCGTTCATACCCAACATCAATAGTTCTAGGCTGAATACAAAACTTTTCATTAGTGGATTTCAGAGTAAAGAATTATCATGAAATTTTCAAAGTAACACATTATTCATTAGATAACCTCGAGATAACATATATCATTAAATGCGTGGCTTTTAGATAATTTTCAAAGTAACAGGGAGAATTGGGAGAGGAACTATATCAGTTTTTTTTTTCTAAATCCCTTTTTAATTTTATGTAATAGTTATATACATATAAAATGTAAAATATGTGAAATATTGAAATAGATATACTTAAACTATAGTAACACATTATCAAAAAAACACATATTATTCGGAAAATCCTTGCTTACTTCAAAGTAGCATATTAGCACAAAGAGCCTTACTTCAGATAATTTATCACAAAAATCCTTACTTCAGATAACTTAAAAATAACTCATTATCATGAAAAGTTTTGCTTTAAATACATTGAAAAAACGTATTATTACGAAAAGTTTTTGCCACTTACATAACTTCAAAACAACATATAATCATGAAATTCCTTGCTTCGGTTTTAACTCTAAAAATCACAGATTATCCATGAAAAAACCTTGAAATTCAGATTGATTTAACTTTAAATTTAACATATTAATCAATGAAGAAACTTGGTATCAAGATAACTTTTGAAGCAATTACATGATTCACGGGAAACGTTTTTGCAGCTAAGTTTTAACATCGAAGAAACATATTAATGAAAGGAAAACGCTTGCATCAGATAACTTGAAAAGTTTGTATCAGATAACTTTTAAAAATTATCATGGAAGCAACTTAAAAGTAGGAAACCAAACGAACACAAAACCCCAGCATTCAAAATTAAAATTTCAAAGGAACATTTATCATGAAATGCCATTGTCTGAGTTCCCATTTAACTTCAAGTTTAACACACTAACAAAGCAGCACGTTGTCCACGAAAAACATTGCTCGTAAATTACTTTAAAGAAAAATATGATCAAGTCAATTGTTAAAAGAGGGAAATGTAAATAATTAAACCGGGGTACCGGACAAGGTGCATGACAATCACAACTTATGTTTCCATTTCCAATCCATGTTGACCTTTCCAAAGGATGCAATTTTTCAACTTATAATTGTTAGAGAACAGACAAGCAATAAACAAATGGATGGTACAATTTTAAACCGGAAAGCAGAAAACTTTTCGTCGAAAATGCTCATACGATGAAGGGCACTTGTTTTATCTTACACGCATTTTTACTGGCTTAATCCTGTGTTCAGACCTTAGGTTTCTTAAACATTTTTAAATCAACGGGAACATGATGAAATTAAAATACATGGATGTACAATAAATAGTAATACTGTTAGGTTATTTTATTTGCAAAGTTTTTTTCCATTTTAAAACATCAAACTGTTTTTGTTTAAGACTACCTGCTTCCTTTGCTGTTTTACAGACCGGGGAAGTGACGTTTTGTTCAGAAAGGAACTTCATCCGGGGCCTCGCTGGGAGGCAATTAAAGTTTCCCAATAATTTCCAAAATACGACAAAACTCGTATTCATGCCTTAGAAAATATTAAAAAAAAATATACATTTAAAAGTACATTGGGTAATTAATTACAATAATAAATGAATAACTTTACATTAAATATTTTTAGTCCATTTAGAAATCATATATTGGAATAATATTTATTCCAGGGATATGCAACAGATTGGTTAGTCCAACGTCTGTCAAATTGACATGTAACATAGTTGCTCAGAGAAACAAACATACCGAAATGCTGTATTTCTTTTGATATTTTCTTGCAAACTCACGACCATCACTGCAATTACCATGAGGTTCAGGAAGTCTAGAAATTCGAACCTAATTAAAAAGAAGGCGCAGGATTCAATTACAATTTAGAAAAATGATATTCCCTCTAAAGCAATGAAAATAACAATATAATTTGAAGATAAATGCTAAACTAAGAAAACTTGACTTCGAACACTAAACGACAAAATAAGGCATGTGATGCAAGTTAAACATTGAAATAATTTCAAGTGTACGTATGACATTCATCTGATGTTGAAGAAATCTGATTGCAAACATTGCATAAAGTATTAAAAATCTCAAGGTAATGTAGAAAGAATAAGATAAGAATCCCTATCGAATGTCCAAAACAGAAAAAATGCAGGCTCATAAACGTACTGGAACATCCACGCCCTCAAGTAGACTTCCACATTTTACATGAAATGATATAATTTTGAAATTAGAAAAATCCACAATCAGTTAATAATATTTTATGCTAACATAAAATTTATTTTAGTAAAACCCTTCTTCATTTGAAAAAATACCACAGTGAATATCCAGGAACTGTGCAATTATCTGACCGAAACGAGCACCACGGTTAAAAAATGAACCATTATGTTTTAGATTAAATCAAATTGAATAAATGTCTAAGCCCATACAGTATGCTTGCCCAGATATTGTATTGTTAATCGCATTGACATATTTCCAGGATAGTGTTTTATTCTATCAAGTTGCTTCTTGAGAATGACGACCTGGCTTGTATATTGAAGGCGATTGTTGTGTTATGACGTTATGACGTTATGTTTTAATACAATAACACAATAATTACATTTTGCTTATGATATTCGGTATACCTGAGGCATTAACCGAATTGCTCGTGTCATATGACTGTGAAATTAGCTATTGAAATATGACTGAGTCAAATTTAACGAGGTTATGCAGATTTGTGAACACCCAAGCAACGCTGGTTAGCACATAAAAACGTACCTGAATCGTATTCAGTAAGAATCTTCTTCCCTTAAGTATTATATGTCACTAGTGTTTAGGCAATTGTCTAAGGGTAACTGAATGTCAAAACAAAACTGTTTATTTTTTTTTTATTTAAGTCGACTTCAAAACAGTAGTTCATGTCGTCTTTTATCACGAATGATCTTGGAAATTAATATGCATTTCCAAAAAACATTTGTGGTGCCTGGTAAAAGTAAAAATAATTAGCCGTATGCGATAGCCTATGCGCTTATTCTTTTTTAAATTTGATTTACTATAACATATTTTTTGGTATGTTTACTAACTGTGTTACCTCGTTTTTCGGTCTTTGCTTTGCCACAAAAATAGGAGTTACTTTTGCAGATTTCTTGCGTTATTTTTCACTCTCCTGCTTTTACTGGAATACCACGGTTGATGACTATAAACATAATATAATTTAGTCTTTATCGGATTTTTAAATGAAGTATATTAGTGTTCGAAAAACTGAAATTAAAATAACTATTTTAGGAAGTTAATTATTTAAAATTGATATTCTTCAAATAAGGAAATGAGATGACCTCTTGGATCATTTTATTCATAAACGATACCCAAAGCGGTCAATAGACGTTCAAACGGTTTTAGTTTGTAGAAATTGAAATTAGAACATGAATTCGCATAAGATGGACATATTGAAATCAAGTTTTGCCTAACATGCTATAGGCTCCATCAACGGCTCAATAAGGTCTAAAAATATCAAGCATTTACCATTCGTAAAACCGTATTATTTTCCGATTCCAGGACTCAATGTAATTCCTTTCATGGGAAGGGCAAAGGTTATTGTTCCGTGCTGCTGAAAAACTATCCGAAATTCCATATTCATCGAAAGGTTATCAATATATTCGTCATTTCAACATTTTACGCTCAATTCATTGCTAAAATTTTCATTTTCAAAATTTTATAAAATTTACAAGTTCTTAGAAAAATATATAGACATCATATAAAATTGTATAATTAACATTGTTTTATTTACTTCTATTTATTATTTCTTCTTTACCTTACTTAAAACAGTTAGTTAAAGAAAGAAGATTTTCTTCGATTGCAGTAAAAACACAACGAAACACAATGGATTTATTTTATTTGAGTACACCTACCATTAGATGGTCCACTTCTTAAAGCCACAAATTTACGATTTCGCCCATTGATATAGCAGTTCCATACTCAACTGACGTTAAAAATTCTTTGAAAAAAGTCTTCGATTGTCTTTTAAAAAAATGTGACAATTCTATTCATGGGGCATAAAAAATTTCTTCTATAGCAATGAATTTTATAATTGAAGTAGGAAAGTTAGAATATTTATACTGAAATTTGTTGTTGCTGTGATGCATGACAGAAAACAACAATTTACATGAACCAGCATATCACATGTGACAATCCTTAGTATCTTCATCTGGTCGATTACGATTATTCATATTTCGTTTTAATTTATATTTTCAATTCAAAAGACACAATGAAAAATTAACTTTAAGCTCAAAGTACAAAGGTTTTTTGATGACTATTATATGATTCAAACAATTTGTCATTAAGCGCTCTTACCGAACTTTTGCACCCTTCCTGCAAAAGTAACATTCTGACCATATCTTCAATTTGATGACCAATTTTTCTTCTCAGATGCCTTATAATGAAAATGATGTTTTTTGGTAAAACTCTTACGATATTAACCTCCAAAATAATTATGACCGCTGAATTGTTAACGCATGTTTGGTGCTAAATGTAAATTTTCAAAACGGGTGATTTAGAATTATAAGAATTTAATAAATTTATTTACTGGTTGCTTGGTGCGTATATCAGACTCTCTGGCTCGTAGAATCAACATTTACAGCAAAAACGATTGCTCTGCTCAAAATAAAACCGGCAAACCAGTTAGTAAAGACAGTGATTTAGCCCACATGCATGTCTGCATTTTATTATAATTTATCCCTCATGTACAGACTCAATCAAACCGAGAATCTTGCAATTCTTATGTAATTTTGTTGTGATTAATGCTTCCGAGGGATAACTTTGTTTCCAGATTTTTGTTACAGTTGGTTGCTCATAATCGGTGTTTAAATTTTGAACGACTTCAATAAATATAGAAGCAGCGGGTATTTGCTTGTACCTAGATTCTTATTCTTTCGTACATACATATTTCACTTCATTACAATGGTACATAGATGATTTACTGGCACTTTCTATACAGATAATTAAGATACAAACATACTAGTAGATGCATATTAAATTCCAGCTATGACTTTTTTACTTTTGATTTATCCTAATTAGTCATGTTTAACTGAAATGGAAGAGAGGACTGAAGTATTCCTTCATTAAATAAGCATTATTTTTTTTAACAAAAATAAAATATGTTTTAAGAAATTGCTTGTTTTTATATTGCTCGGCATTTTAGAAGCACAGATCATACAAACAGTATAATTCAATAATACTACTCACAAAGGTTTGATTTTTATAGCCTTTTTAAAATTTTCAACACGTGCATCCCATTCGTCTTTGGTTTGCCCTAGTTGCTTTAAGTACAAACGCTCATCAAAGTTGTCAGACAACCAATCGTCCCAGTAGAAATCCTCGTTTAGATCTGAATAGTCAAACCAGAAATAATCATAATTGATTGTACTACTACTTAATTCATCGGATATTCCATCTTTTGTCACTGAATCAGAGTTTGCTTTAGTAACCGTGTTGTTAGTCACTGAATCAGAGTTTGCTTTAGTAACCGCATCTTTTGTCACTGAATCAGAGTTTGCTTTAGTAACCGCATCTTTTGTCACTGAATCAGAGATTGCTTTAGTAACCGCATCTTTTGTCACTGAATCAGAGTTTGCTTTAGTAACCGCATCTTTTGTCACAGAATCAGAGTTTGCTTTAGTAACCGCATCTTTTGTCACAGAATCAGAGTTTGCTTTAGTAACCGCATCTTGTGTCACTGAATCAGAGTTAGCTTTAGTAACCGCATCTTGTGTCACTGAATCAGAGTTTGCATCAGTAACCGCATCTTGTGTCACTGAATCAGAGTTTGCTTTAGTAACCGCATCTTGTGTCACTGAATCAGAGTTTGCTTTAGTAACCGCATCTTGTGTCACTGAATCAGAGTTTGCTTTAGTAACCGCATCTTGTGTCACTGAATCAGAGTTTTAGCTTTAGTAACCGCATCTTTTGTCACTGAATCAGAGTTTGCTTTAGTAACCGCATCTTTTGTCACTGAATCAGAGTTTGCTTTAGTAACCGCATCTTGTGTCACTGAATCAGAGTTAGCTTTAGTAACCGCATCTTGTGTCACTGAATCAGAGTTTGCTTTAGTAACCGCATCTTGTGTCACTGAATCAGAATTTGCTTTAGTAACCGCATCTTTTGTCACTGAATCAGAGTTAGCTTTAGTAACCGCATCTTGTGTCACAGAATCAGAGTTTGCTTTAGTAACCGCATCTTTTGTCACTGAATCAGAGTTTGCTTTAGTAACCGCATCTTTTGTCACTGAATCAGAGTTTGCTTTAGTAAACCGCATCTTTGTCACAGAATCAGAGTTTGCTTTAGTAACCGCATCTTGTGTCACTGAATCAGAGTTTGCTTTAGTAACCGCATCTTGTGTCACTGAATCAGAATTTGCTTTAGTAACCGCATCTTTTGTCACTGAATCAGAGTTAGCTTTAGTAACCGCATCTTGTGTCACAGAATCAGAGTTTGCTTTAGTAACCGCATCTTTTGTCACTGAATCAGAGTTTGCTTTAGTAACCGCATCTTTTGTCACTGAATCAGAGTTTGCTTTAGTAACCGCATCTTTTGCCACAGAATCAGAGTTTGCTTTAGTAACCGCATCTTGTGTCACTGAATCAGAGTTAGCTTTAGTAACCGCATCTTGTGTCACTGAATCAGAGTTTGCTTTAGTAACTGAATAAGAAGCAGCTTCTGTTTCCTTTGTAGTTGTGTCTGCTTCTCTTCTATTTCGCAGACCTTCGCCATTATGTCTTACTGTTCGTGTATTCTTGAGTTGTTTATGGTTGTTTAATTTTAAACGTTTATCTCTGTTTAAGTCAGAAAACGTGGACTTTTGAAAGGTAACTTTTGGTTTATTTTCACGACGATCATCAGTAATGTTATTGCCTTTTCCTTCCGCATGTTTGTTTTTCTGGATTGTTTCATCGTTTAGGTTCCTTGCCAGGACTTTGAACATCGCTTTTCCTTCAGCATCCAGCAGATGTTTATTTTCTGAGTTAGTACCTTCGGTACCCCGCTTTCTCCTTGCGTAAACCTGTAAATTAAATTTGAAAAACAACAAATAACACCAATTAAAGCATTTTTTTGATTATTTAAAAGAATGATTTAATATAATGAATTAAGCACATGAAAGGTAAAAATTATATTAGCCAAACTGCTTAGAGTGAGTTATTAAGCTTCATTATAAATGTTCAATTAAATTGATTGGAGATGAAATTTGAGCATACTAACATTTATAGAAACGGATAATAACTGAAAAAAAGAACACAAAGAATGTAAAAGCAAATTTGGAATTAACTAACTAATTAATTAACTAACCGTCCGACCAACTTACGAAATGTGCAGTTATGAAGCATAAAAGAACATCCTGGAGAAACGTAATATTCTTTTATCAAATGAATTTATGGGTGATCAAAGATGAATATTAAACCAAAATGTGTGACACAAGAGTAAATTAAATTTGGAAAGGATGTAAGAATGATTGGCACACGAATATAAATAGAATGGGAAAAGGAAATACATAATTGAGTCGCCCCATGACAAAACCAATATAATGCGTTTGCGACCAGCTTGGATCCAGACTAGCCTGCGCATGATCAGGATCCATGCTGTTTAATTAAAAATCCTATAACAAGTAGATAAACTAATAGCGAACAGAATGGATCCTTATCAGACTGCGCGGATACGCAGGCTTGTCTGGATCCATGCTGGTCGCAAACGCATCATGTTGGTTTTGTCACGGCGCGGCTCATTTATTTTGCTACAGTACCTGATCCTCGGACAGGAGATCCCGCAAGTCTTCTGATCTGTGTAGCTGGGATTTCCGTACCGGGTTCAAGTTACACAAAGTAATGGCAGGGAAAGCAATAGGACTAAAGTCTAGCGACACAGATGTTTGTGATGGATACGAATAATATGTTCTTTAAAGTAAAAGAAATAAAAAAAATTATAACCTGAAAAATAATGATTTCACAAAGACAAATACAAAGTAAACTTTTATTCAAAATAAACTACGCTTCTATTTTTGCTTCCACATAATGACCAAGTAATATCGAAATTACATTCGACTCGTGTACATGACTCGTGTACATTATTTAAAAATTGTTGGCTTTATCGACATATGATATTGCTGATAGTCTTTCATGAGTTAAATTTGCGAAAGGTTTTACAAATATTATACAACAAATCAATTTAACTTCTCTAAAAGAAGAATATAAAATATACATGAATTGTTTGAGGAAAATGTAGTTTAAATAATTTTAAACATAGCAAAATTGTTTTCTATGTATATAAAATAGATATACGGATTCAGATTGAATGAATATATGGTAAAACGTTAAAAATTAAAACTAACTTAAATAGGAGGTACAGTTGAAAAGAGACTACAGCAAATGCTGCTAGAACCAATATAGACCACAATACTTTCACAACAATCTGTCGAGATGACACAATCTTTGGTATTCCATGCAAAGAACTTGACTCAGCCAATTCCTGAAACAAACAAATACAGGGCTAGAAATGTGATTTGATTTTGAAGCCGAATGTTGAATATAAAGAGAGAAGGAAAGTCTTGGCAAGTACTTATATCTTACTGACATTCAACCATCCAACTTGCGAAAAGTTCATTCACTACTATACCTCGGTGGTTATAATTCCTTCTGTTCTGAATATCACTTATCCTAAAGTCATACTCGTTAATATGATTGGTGATGATAGAAAAACAAATTGTCCATTCGACATAATAATTTAACCCAATAATTTAACCCAAAATTTCAGTTTTCATAAAAGATCTATTTCAATTTAATGCCTTTAAAAAATTAATTTAAAAAAAAGCATCATTTTGCTGCATTTGTAGCATAGTACCATAAATGTCATAAAATATTTCATTACTGCACAATTACGAGATCTTAAAGGGCAAAATAAAAAAATAAAAATAAAAACAAGAAATAAAAAAACAAAACAAAAAAAAAAACAAACAAAAAAAAACATACATTTATCATTCATTTGGAGTTAACTAGGACATCAACATTAATATGATTTATTGGCATGTACAACAGAATTGCAAAACTTTAATATTATTGTGTTTAGTCCCTAATTAATATACGTTTTCTTTTCAATGACTTTCTTCGATCGATTTGGCGGCCGACGTATATGAACAATTTCCATATTGGTGTCAAGGGGTATCATAATACAGAGATCTTGAAAATATATATCTGGTTATTTGTTTTCAAAGATATTTTCTTAATAAAACAAGCTATCGTTACAGTGGATAAGTAAAACAAAATAAGGGCAGTGAAAATGAAGAAAAAATGCACATTCATTTAAATAATTTTCTTTTTTAATTATAATTATTATTATTATTATTATTATTATTTACCAAACTTATACAGCGGTCTTTTTATATACTAGTACACGTTTAAAGGCGCTTTACAGTGATATAAGCTGATTGCTTAATTACAGCTAACAATATTATTAAAAATAGTTAGACATATTTGAAACAATAAATGTACAACATATCCAAATGGAGAACAAAATTAAAAAATGTAGTATTTAAGTTGTCTTTTGAAGTAAAAACATTACATATCACAGTCATGATAAAAAAATAAAACAATTACCTAACGAAATATTGAAATACACAAATAAAAAAAAATACGATCGGCATCTCAATTGCACTTATTGTCACATGATATATACTGTACTTGAATATCACAGTAAAATAATATATATGGATATGAATTTATTTGGATAATTCAGGTCATTGGATCATCCAGGTCTTTCTCAAATGGACTCCACTAAGATCTTTTGACATGACGGAATTGGTCTAGACTAATGCAGATTTTCAGATCATTTGCTCATTCCGTTTCTCAAGAATAACAATTCTTATTTTAAAAAATGACCCAAAAATGAGAAGCGTTGAACGCAAATCATGCTAAGAATAGCACGAACTTCCCTTTTCTGATTATTTCTGAGTATATATTTTTTAATAATTTCTGTTTTAAATGCCCCAGAAGATCTACGTAAGAATTAAAAAATTTATGTTTTGAGATGCAATAATTATGATTTTAAAAACAAATAATTGAGTACAAAACTTTTCGGTCTTAACCTGTTTACAAATTAATTGTTACATGTCCCTAAATTCATTTTAATTATTTAATTCATTTGAGTCACGTATGTACACATAATATTTCATCATACAAATAGTAAAGTATAAACTACGAACGTGGTCATTCTTTAAGAAAAGAATGAAAAAGACTGTTTTCGTAAATGCAATATATGTTAAGCTATACATATAATAAACATATAAGAAAATCTTTTTAAATGATAAAAACAATGTCATTCAATCATAGCCTATCAATTCATTTCATTTAATTAAAATTTGTTTTATAGGATATTGTAAAGTTAAATATACGCTAGTAATTATTTAGAGGCTGATACTTAGTTGCTGCTCGCCATTATGCGATAATAACATAACATATCATAACGTAAGATAATATTTATTCAGCATTAAATGTTACAACATTTATAGTCATTTCAATCTATAATACATTCATATAAGGGCAAGTACATGGTTGACAGAAAATTATACAAATGATTTATACAAATTAATCTAAAAAAAAGTGTTTTTTTTTAACAGAGTGATAATAGCCAGAAGATATCCATTATTGCATGAGGGTATAATGGGTAGCACCTATGCCTGGTCTGCATAAAAAACTTATCTTGTTTGTCTAAGAAACGGTGTTGTCATCGTAAACAACTAGACCATCTGTCCTTCAGTTTACTTATTACCAGAAAACTCGATATTCTTTAAAAACATGATAACAAAATATAGAAACGAGACAGTGTTATTTAGTTGCTGTGTATGTTCTTTATGTTAAATTCAGTTCTTCATGTGAAATTGAGTGCTTGAACGGATCATTTGTTGCCAAGTTGAAAATAAACTAAGCTCTTGACGCCCCCGGCCTGCGGCCCACATGTCAAACTGGATGTCTTTATGTCATTATCGCATAATGGGGAGCAATAACCGAGTACAAACGTCTATAGTCATCAAAGAAATTGACCGAGAGAATAGATAAATAGAATCACCTTATCATACCTGAGTTTATTTTTAAGCCTAATTTTCTAAAAGAAAATTGAGATTAGTTTCATTCAGAGTGAAATAAAGCTTGTTTCCAACAATTTGACTTAGTTTCTGAGATATTTGCTTCCTTACATTAATTGACCTACAAATGATAAACTTATTTATAAATAGCTGAAAATAGCTTTTTGTAAATGCTAGAAATATTTTCTGCCTACAGTGCAAGAATCGTTATGAATTAATTCATCTGAATTTTAGCCAAAATGCGCGGAAAGTGCTGTTTGTGTTCAAAGTTCTGGTTAGTAGTATTAAGACTAACATGAGAGTGGCATCGCACAGGGCGAATACATGTAAATTATCATTTGTATGTGCACCTTATTATAGATACAGTTATTGATGAGACCCATGTTGAAGTTACTTCTCATAAAATCAAAGTAAAACAAATGCACAAATTCTCATTTTTGTTACTTTAATAATGGTTGCAATCAAATGAATTATTTCCATTTGTTTTGTTTATTCCTCGAACATTAATTATAAACATGGCACTTAAGAGAGTCTCAACATACGAATTTTAAAAGAAATTGTAACCATATAACATAGTACAATGTATTTAAGTAGCTTGAACAGCACATCTTCATAAGAAATATTTTATGTCCAAATATAAACTTCCCTAATCCAGTTAACATTTTTTTCACAATAATTTCCTTCTTATTCTAAGTATTTTATAAAAGATATTTGCTAAGTTCTGATCAATTCGTGGTGGGTGGAAAAAAATCGTGGTCATTGAGATTCAGGAAATAAATTCAGTACGCAAAATTGGTTTCTTTACTGGACAGTATAAATATATACTAGTACATTACTTTCGATTCATTAGTCTTACACCAAAATGTTCAAATGTGTTGATTTTAGGCAGGTACTCATAACGCCAAGGTTAAAATGTATTGATGCCAAATTAACTTGGCTATTGCAGATCTTGATCCATGAATCTATAAGTAAAGGACATAAACATTTTATTATATTGTTTACGCAAATACCGGACTTCGCTAATTTGTAGGTTAGTAACTTATTCAAAGTAACACCACGGGTCAAAACACCTCACCATCTGGAGCTAAGAGATGCATAGACTACAGTTATTTGCACCCATTTAGTCGCCTCTTACGATTACACACTGTTGAACTGTGGCTGCAATTCTTTTGTTCAAGTTTTAAAGGCAACCACTCATGCACAAGATGCAATAAGTTTAGGTAAATTTCATTTAAAACATTGAAGTCTTTTATGATTATTACCATTAATACTAAGCTATTCATTTCATTTTTAGCTTTGGAATAATATAAATCTATGAGGCATTTTCTATGTACTGAATTTACGTCTATTATCTTTTATTTTTGGATACATTAATTCATGAACGTTTCCTACCTTAAGAGTTTCTTTGAGAGTAGGTTTTCTTTCATCTTTTAAATATGACAAGTCATCTTTTTTCTCCTCAAGTACTTCTTCCTTTCGGATATCCATTTAAAGCATTTAAGCCTATATTTTTATTAGTTTGGACTACTCTATCCTGCTTGATTAAAAAAATTCTTCTGTTTAATATTGTATTCAAATCTGACTGTGCAGTATATGAAGCTGCCACTCACAAACAAGAATGCTTCACTGTTTAAATAAAACCAGGTAGGACAAAAATTTATATAATATTGATGATTATAACGCAATTTCGTGCTTGATACCCTATATTTAGGTATAAATAATGGCAATAACTCTGTTTAGTGGAAATTGCAAAACATAATATCTGATAACTGTGGATTGTTTGATATCTTATTTATTGCAGCACATGCATTTGATTCTGAGATCTGTGCTTTGATATAAATTGATATCTCATATTACAGGTATCATAGTCTGATTTTCAGATCTATGGTATAACAGATGTTTGCCATTCCTATATCAATGATTTCATAATACTGTGTAACATTGAACAATCTGCTACTTTACTGTAAAATTATCCCAAAAAAAAAAGATCATATTTATCTGCTGCATTGTAATATTTTGAATACTTGATATGCATACTTGACGTCCTACTTAGCTAACCAAATGTATATTATAAATAAAAAGATAACAATAATAAGAACTCAAATTAGAAAAATGATTATAAGGATACAAACATTACGACTCCATTATTAATGCATTTATGTAGAGGATATTTGTTTAGTTCAGTGTAAGATCGGAATATATTTCACCGAGAGAGCACCAAAAGGTATATTTCACGAGTGGCGCAGCCACGAGTGAAATATGAACTTTTGGTGTTCACAAGGTGAAATATATTTCGATCTTACACTAAACTAAACAAATTTTCTTTTTATTATATGCAAAGAAACTTTTTAAAAAGACATTAAACCTAATACTGAATGAAAAGCGCGCCAAAAAATAATACAACGTGACGTCATTTACGACGTCACGTCATTAAGTTGGTACCCAGTACTGTGCACGCTTGTATTTCACTGAAACAACGTAAGGGGCTTAAATTCAAAACAGTGAAATTATCAAAGTGGTAATTTCACTGTTTCCAACAGTGAAATTACCAGTTTTATACCACTGATATATTTCTATAAACCACCGAAAAGCATGTAATAGATAATAATAAACTTTGGGGAAAAAAGAATAATAAAAGAACATAATAAGTATTGATAACAGAGCTCTTTTCCTGGTGATTTATCGTAGTTTCGTTTTGGTACTTAGGTTTGGTATTAAGGCTACGTAGCTTTTTTCAATTTGGTAAATGTTTTGCGTTCTCGATTTAGCAATAAATTCCTTATATTATTGTGTCCTCGCTTTGGTATCAATATCTTATGTTATTTTATCTTTGTTATGTTATTATGTCATCGATTTAGTAAGTAAAAAATGTTATTGTGTCCTAGATTTTGTATCAATATCTTATGTTATTTTATCTTTGTTATGTTATTATGTCATCGATTTAGAAGTAATGTCATTGTGTCCTAGATTAGGTAATAAATTTGTTGTGTTATTGTGTCCTCGATTTGGTGATAAATTTCTTATATAATGGTGTCCCAGATTCGGTATGAAATAATTAAGTTATTGTGTCCTCGATTTGGTTATAAATTTCTCATATTATTGTGTCCTCGATTTGATAATAAATTTCATGCTATTATGTCTTCCATTAGGTTATACATTTCTTATGTTTTTATGTCTTCGATTTGATTCTAGATTTCTTGTGTTATTATGTCCTCACTTTTTTTAGTAAGTAGCTTTGTCTTTTTGAGTCCTTCGATCGGTAAAAAAATTATGTAGAGTCTTAGATTTGATAATAAAGATAAATCTTATCTTCAATTTAGTAATGATTAAATGTCTTCTATTTGGTAGTTTTGAGCGTCCACGATTTTGTAACTATGGCTGTCCTTGACTTAATAATTATATAGCGTCCTCGATCTGGTAATGTACTGAAAGTTTATACTGCAGTCATGATTTGTTTGTTATGATATACATTTGTACTGCGTTCATGATTTGTTTGTTATGATATACTGCGTTCATGATTTGTTTGTTATGATATATTGCGTTCATGATTTGTTTGTTATGATATACTGCGTTCATGATTTCTTTGTTATGGAGCATATTCTTGATTTTGAAATTGTGTCGTGTCCTCGATTAGGTCATAATGCAGATCTATCGATTTTGTAGCAATGAAGCGTCCTCTATTTGATGCTTTTTGTTATACTCTCTCTCGGCAACCTCAAAAGATATTAGAAGACGTTTTTATATAAATAATTATCTTCATTAAAGACTAAATTACATTATTAATGCATTTAACCAGTAACACAAACATAGCGTATGACCATATAGAAATTTATGGTTTTCTTTTTGTCAGTTATATTTACTCAGTGTTAAAAATTTACTCTTAGGGAATTTTTTAAAAACTGTATCAACGATTGCGTCTCTAGATAAATTTAACTCGTAACAGTCTTACAGTCGTAACAGCCGTCAGAGTTGTATGAGGTCTTTAATTCAGTAAATGTTATTTTAGAAAAGAAATTAGCCGCGTCACGACAAAACCAACATAGTGCGTTTGCGACACGCATGGATCCAAAACAGCCTGCCCATCTGCGCAGTCTGATCAGGATCCATGCTGTTCGCTTACCAACTCTATTACAAGAAGAGAAACTGATAGCGAACAGCATGGACCCTGATCAGACTGTGCAGATGCGCAGGCTGGTCTGGATACATGCTGGTCGCAAATGCACTATGTTGGTTTTGTCGTGACGCGGCTCAAATTAGCAAATTGGTTAGAATAACAAATAAATTAACATTGGGATAACATTTCTGATTTTATACACAATACATTTCACATTTCTTTACATTGTAAGTCAATGTTATAACATTCCATTCTAGTATAACAATCCATGTATCTAGTGATCATATCATCCTTGTTGTATGTTTAATGATATATATCAGTATGGAACGGGTAACTATGGGACAAAATGATATTTCATAACAACATATCACACACAAAAACACGTACACCAGCTGCAAACTATATAATCAGTTATGATACATTTTCTGCTATCTTCTTCCAGGAAACGAAAATTAAAGAAATCGTATATGTTACAATGAATATTATTTTTTCCTCAATGAGAATGGTTTGGTATATGTGTTGCGTATGTAAATTGAGTCAGAGGATTCGTTTACGCGTAAAACTTTTGCGCCGAGATAAGTGAAACATAGACTTGAAACATTGCAGGTTGATAGATCTCATTAAAAATTTATTTTCTAAAAAAAAGAGAGAAAAATTTTTTCTTAAGTTATTGTCCTTTGTATTTTTGCAAATTTTTTGTTGTTGTTTTCTTATTATAAATGTCCTTGTAAAAACATTTATATGTCAAAATGATATGATATATCGACAGCTATGTCTATTTATATTTTAGGCTTTAGGATTCAAAACAGTAAAATCTTTAATTTCTTATGTAAACCTCACAGTTGGCAGTTCAAAAAAATCTGAGATTCATAGTATGTCTACCCCAGTTATTAACTGGATGAATTGAATTTGATAATCCGAACATAAATTGGCATGCCTCCTTTCCGTCTTAGTCGAAAAATTGTAATTCGTACTCAGACATACTTTTAATGAATGACTTAATGCCGTTGCAATTTGCTTGACACTGCTCTCTTTTATTTATGGTTTTGCACAATAATAATACACTGAGGAATAATACTAAGGAGATTCACTCTTATAACGTGAATATCAATTCAAACAATTTTATATTTTAGCGATACTGTTTAGATACGCCACTGTTGATCGTCCAGGAATGATTTCGTCTGTTGTGTTTTGGTTTATTATAATTAATTCAACTTTATTGTTTCCAAGGACAATGTTCTCCTTCTGGAAGCCTGTTGTTTATGGTTGTTTTTTCATTATACCTCTTGAACAGACCCAGCCAAACCGAGTCTTCAATTTCATGCAATTTTCTGAGCGATCACTTCTTTTCCAGATTATGATGATAAATTAATTCTAATTAAACCTTTTTGTTTCCTATGTCAACTGTCCTTTGTTAGAAGCCTTTTGTGTAATGACTGATAACTGATTTTTAATTAAATCATTTTGTTTCCAATGCCAACGTTCTAATAAAAAAATCTACGATGGACATTCCAATATAACACGTGATTTGTGCATACGTTTTTCTTCTCATTACAAGGGAACAATACAATTCGTATCACTAAGCAATTCTCGTATACTCCATAGAAACTGTATTACTATTGTAACCGACAAGGTCAAAGGTGTAGCCCTTCCGTATTTAACATAGTTTGATTCCAGGTAATGATACTTTAGAGATAAATAAATAATTCATTTAAGGTAGCTCGCTACTTTCCGACCTAAATTTGACAATATCTCAGATCTTGATGATTTTTGGTATACAGACATGTAGATATGTAAGCTTTACTTCTGCAGTATTATTTCATAAATAAACAGCGTTACTATGACGTCAAAGCGCCCTCTATCGGTGGCGGCGAAATTGCGTCTTTTTTATCAATAAACCGGTCTGTTCTTATCAATTTTCATCCGATTTCATTCATTTTAATTTTATAATGTTCAGTAAATGTATGTCTTTGTAATGATGTCTTTCTTGAACATTTGCTTAATACTCTGCGATTCTACGTTATTTTCCCTCACGTTCTGACGTCCATATTTGATGCAAATATCGCGCGATATCGCAATAAAGATTGTGAAATAATAAAAAATCAACACGGTGAATTTTGCTATAATTTTTTTAACATGTAGTGAAGTCATAAAAGAAAATATTTATGCAATAAAAATATAGGATCAATGCGTAAGATATTTTGCTATTACTATTTGAATTTAAAATAAAGGGTGAGTAAAACGTAATGATTTTGGTGACGTCAAATATTTTTCTCAAGGAAATTTTCACGACTTTTTCGATAAATATCATACTGACAGGAATAAAAATGTGTGAAAACCATCAACAACAATAGTATTTAGACATGTTCCGTAAAAATGTTTTTAAACGTCCTGTCAGATGCATGCATTTCGATGAATATCTTCAATTATATTCATGTACCATAAATCAAGGTATAACTGTCTGCAAAAGTTGGTATCAATCTCTGAAAAACTGCAACGAATGGATATAAATACCTCGAGGACTGAAAGACAATTCAGAATATTGAAAGATATAATTAAAAGGCCACCTAAGTGGAAATTATAAAAACATAAATTTTGCAAAGAATGTCAGAAAAAAAGAATGAAAAGGCTGTGTAACACCGCACTTTTGGGTCAAACGCACTTTGGGGTCCAACCCCAAAGTGCGTTACGTATACTTTGGGGTCCAACCCCAAAGTGCGTTACGCACTTTGGTGTCCAAGTTTGACCCCAAAGTGCGTTACACAGGTACATATGAATTTTTTGACATCAGACAAACGACCGCACTTTGGGGTCATAAAATTCAATCAATAAGAACGAATTATAGTGATATTCTAAAATAATATCTTGTAGTTGATGCCAATCGTAAAACGAAGTATGCTAAATGTATTAAGTTGGCTAACAATAGCAGACGATTGATTATTTTAATTTGTTATATCTAATGGTTGCAATTTATTATAATTATGTTTATATACAATTAATTGTCCCATAGGATATTGGCTTGAAAGTTATGAGATATATTGATATGCTTGATGTGTATTGTGTGTAATAATACATAAAATAACATATCCATGAACTAGCGATAATTGTAGAAATTGCATGTCATACATATTTCCAACTAATTAAAATCCAGTCCATTATACGATATGATCCTTTTCATGACCCATTAAAATCTGGATTTACTTTATTTCTAGTTATATTAAACGGAGGTAACCTTTCTTGATTGCTTATAGTTTTTCCATGTTGTAGAAAAAAGACTTGCATTGAAAGGAATTCAGGCTGTGTCAAGCTGCCACTACGTACTAATACTTGAAAAAAATGAACCATTCAAGATCGCTTCCAAGATGGATGCAATATTATTAGAATTCACCATGCTTAACAAGATCATAAGTTTATAATCATTTAAATGAAATTCAAGTCCAATTATGGCAGGAATTATTTTCAATCACGTATATTTTGTAATTTTCGGAAAAAAAGACATATCGTCTCATTTTAAAATGGCAGCGGTTTTAGGTGGTTCATCAAACAGACACGTTTTCATTGTAAGTTTATTTTGATTCACAGTATAAACTGCTCTGTGCTGTAAATTAACGTTTACATCTCAGTTTATTTTGCAATCTCAGGACGGCGTCCAAAATGGCCACAAATTAAAAGTATGTCGTTGCGGAATATAAAGTATATTTAAGAAAACTTTAAATTTATTTATAGTAGCAGTTACTTTCATGAAATAACATGACTGGTACCTGACAAACGTAAAAATCATGAAGATTTACGGGATGAAAACCAAAATTTAGAGTAAGGCATTAACTGATGTGAAAAAGGCTTGATGTAACGTCACGTAACTTTACTTAACGTATGATAAATTTTATTTCTAACTTACTTGTAACAAGTCATTTCGGTTAAAACTAAAATACACTGAGATGACACTATTTGCATTTTATTACACCCCATTATATTTAATATGGGGTTCAATAAGCACCAAAAGTTATCTACTAAATCACTGTCAGGATATTTTTCGAATTTGTAAGTTAAGTAATATAGTAGTTTGTTATATAGCCACAATGGATATTTAAAGTGGTAAAATGAATAAACCACTTAAACATCAAACACATATTTTCATTGCTGCTACATCAGCATTTAAATGACACTTAGAAATATTGATGTATATATGTATCAACCGTCATCTTGAACTCAACCTCAAATATTTCAGTGTCGCAAATCGAAAATAAGTCAGTACTCAGAATTTAAGCAGAACTCAGTTGACATCTTCAGAACTCTAAAACCCAAAGTGCGTTGATATGTAGCATACCAACGCACTTTGGGGTCAGTTTCTTGATTTTGACCCCAAAGTGCGTTTGACCCCAAAGTGCGCTGTGAAGTTTACCGCACTTAGGGGTCGGACCCCAAAGTGCGTTTGACCCCAAAGTGCGGTGTTAAAAGGCTGGTGCAGTCGCAATGTCATCATGTTATGTGTATGTCGGTACAACATAAACTTCCATGTTATCATTAACAATTTTGAATTCTATATATCAGTGACATAGATAACATCTATGTCTTTGGTAGGAAATGAATCAAATTTACGTTTCAAAATATATGATCAACTGGAAGTAGCAACGATTTGTACGTAACTCATAATTCACTGGTAGTCTTAATTATATTATAAAAAATCTAGCAGACATTTAATTCAAAATTTTCTACACGTATAAAAATTTATTTATTATCAGCCATCAGTTATTCTATTTTCTCTCGCAGCATAATACCCCGCACTAAGCGTGAGACTCAGATTTAAAGCAGGAATCACGCTCTCATGCTATGACAGGAGTCCGAGGTGGACCTTGAAACATTTCATACACAGTAAACAATTCTAAAGGATAATCTATTAGTACAATACGCAATCGTGTCTCGAATCCATGCCTTCCGAATTCAGCGTAAGACCACTTTACCGATTACAACGTGGCAACAGAAGAATATTCAAAGTTAAAAACCTGATTATGATCTCCCTTAATAAGGGAGAAGTCCATTTTATTGCTAACATCATAAACACGTGTTGTTGGTGTGTGTTTTGAGGTTATTTTTTTCTTGTGTTTTTATTTTTGTTTTAAAGCAAACTGTATTGTATTAAAAATGAACAAGATAACGTCAACATAATACATTATTCCTATTCAGTGGTAACAAAAGTTGCACAAGTTATTTAATAATTATATTTTGTATTTAATTAAAATATACAGTATAACCTTAACAGAGAAATGCCCTTTGTTGCCTAGAGTGGTTGCTCTACAGAGGTAAAATGTAGTGGAACTCTTTAGAAATAAATAATACTTTGAGGGCCGCTATGTTATACTGTAATGAAAAAGCGGTAATGAATCCGAGTTGAGTAATGGTTATATTGGGTGTTTCACATTCGAGTCTGCAGTTGCGAATATGCTTATATATATTTTTTATTCAGTGTGATTTTGCTTCCAAAATAGTTTATAGTTTGTCACATAAGTGCTCATTTTCTAATTATCATGACATTTTAATTAGATTATAATTATATAATCTATGTATTGCACAGACTTAAAAATGGTAAGCAAAAATTAAAATAAAATAAAGGTTTTTGTTTCTTGTACAGTTTGTTTTTAAATATTCTTAAATGGACTCCACTGAGGTTGAAAAGCCAAACACATAACACTTGAATTTCTTACATAAATGAGCTGGGGCACTTTAAACAGAAATATATGCGAAGATAGTTAAGAAATATATTTTGAAATAAATAAATTGAAAATCGTATTTTTATGCTTTAGTTAGCCCGATTTGGGTGAAAAGCGTTTAAACGCTTTTCATTTTGAATAATTATTCTGGAAAAACGAAGTGCGCGAATGCTCTGAAATTTTGCACAAATATTAATGGTCTAAACCTACATCAAATGGTACATTTATCTGGAAAAAATATTTTCAGTTCCATCATGTCAAAACACCTCAGTACATATTTGAATATTATTTCTGAATTTTATTTATCACTTATTTCGGCACATTTGTATGCATATCTATTTTAATTTACGATGTGTTTTGACACCGAGGATCGTCTGCCTTTATGTGATTTTATGAAAGTGTTTAAGGCTGAATGTAACGTAAAATAAATATTCTACGGGTATAAGCTAAGCGACCTAAAATTCTTACTTCATTCATACAGCAATATGTGAATCTTATTTTTTGCGCTGAAACTAGTTAATTCATATAATAATATAACACTTTAACAACATCACATTATTAAGTTAGAATTAAAAGATGTATGAGACTGCGTTCAGCAAATTAGAAAAAGTATTTAAAAAGGCATTGTCGGATTAAACATTGTAAATATGCTCATCTAGCGCATGCTTTCAATGAGAAAATAACCAACAATTTAAAAAATATACATTTCATCAAGTCCCTGTGTTGTTTATACTTACTATCGTAATGTTTGACGTAAGAAAATTGTTATTTGGTATTATTCTTTGAACTCCAACATCAATTAACGTCACCAAAATCATTACGTTTCACTCACCCTTTATTTTATTTTAAAACAGTAATAGCAAAATATCTTACGCGTTGACCCTATATTTTTATTGTATTAATATTTTCCTTCACTATCTAACTACACGCTCGGAAAATTATAGCAAAATTCACCGTGTTGAATTTCTTTCATTACACAATCTTTATTGCGATATCGCGCGATATTTGCATCAAATATGGACGTCAGAACGTAGAGAAAAATGACGTAAAATCGCAGACTATTAAGTAAATGTTAACGAAAGACATCATTACAAAGACATACATTTACTGAACATTATAAAATTAAAATGAATGAAATCGGATGAAAATTGATAAGAACAGACCGGTTTATTGATAAAAAAAGACGCAATTTCGCCGCCACCGATAGAGGGCGCTTTGACGTCATAGTAACGCTGTTTATTTATAAAATAATACTGCAGAAGTAAAGCTCACATATTTATATGTTTGCATACCAAAAATCATCAAGATCTGAGATGTTGTCATATTTCGGTCGGAAAGTAGCGAGCTACCTTAAGTCTGTGTAAATATAATTGAGCCACGTCATGACAAAACCAACGTATTGCGTTTGCGACCAGCATTGATCCAGGCCAGCCTGCGCATCCGCGCAGTCTGATCAGGATACATGATGTTCGTTTACAAACCCTATAACAAGTAGAGAAACTGATAGCGAACAGCATGGATCCTGATCAGACTGCGCGGATGGGCAGGCTGATCTGGATCCATGCTGGTCGCAAACCCATTACGTTGGTTTTGTCATGAGGAGGCACATTTAACCAGATGAGACATAGATATAAAATATCTAAAATTGTCAATAACAATGCAAAACATACAAAAGAGAATAATTTTATTTAAAAATGATAATAAGCGAATGATGTGCATTTTACAGCATATCAATACAAAAGGGGCTTATGTTGCTGGTAAAGAATATAATATCATGTATATAAAACAACAAAAGAAAAGAACATAAAAAGATGTGATAAAAAATCGGGGATTATAATAATATTTCTTTTATTTGAACTATTTCAGATGAAACCATTAAATCACTATATCTTATTGGTTTGTATGTTTGTTTAAAAACATAAAAAATCATTGTAATGAGCTAAATCGCATTTGTAACAGAAACTGATGTTAGAAAAAATGGTGACTAGGTGACAGGTGACTAAAGTTGTAATTCAAACTAACGATATGGCTGGCTTCGTAATAAGATAGATTTTATAAAGAAAAGGCTAAATTATATACCGAATTTGCCATTTTCTAACTACGATTATGTCGAATTGAAATATTGTGATAATGCTGCTCACATTGGATCCCAACACAATGACTTCTTAAACAAAATGATCAACATAATTACAATGATAAGGAGTCCAATGAAATGAATCAACAAATATAATAAAAGTCTGAGCGATGTTACGCCACATAACAGCGCAGCTACATCAACGTGGTCGAGTTCGTTTATGCTATGATTTACAACTCATAAACAGAAACCGTATATGTGGCAGACAGACCGGTTCTGGCGAATAAATATTAAAATGTCGAAAATGGAAAATATGCTGTGGCCTTCTCATTATGATCAACACCATCTTCACAATAACAACAGTCATAACATCACCACTTCCATCAAATTACCATCTTCATCACTACAATCATCACTATCATTATCATGATTGCGCTATTTATGTGTTGAAAATCATCGCATTCATGAAATCGACCAAGTCTATGCGGCGGCGCTGTTTTGTGGCGTTACAAAGCAAAACAGCCAATTAAAATAACACACTCATGCAACACTTCCATTTAAACAATAAACTTTATCTTTCGTGAACTTAAATTTTTATGACGAAGGAGTTCATACATTGAGAAAGCAATAAAATAAATGTTCATCTGTTAACTGAGTTTGCTTCTTTCTCTTAGTTAACGATGTCTTCATTAGATTGGTCAGTCAATTGGTTTTTTGAAGTCGACCACTCGAGTGTGTCTCTCATTCTTATGTTTCAAAAAGAGAAACACCTCAAGAATTAACTGAACAAATTCAACAAAACTCAAAACAGATGCCCCTAGGAACAGTCCCATTGCACCTCCTATGTCAGATAGAAAACGAACACTCTGAAAGAAAGTACATACATTTGTATTTAATTATACATTTGTAATCATAACCATACAATCAACACAACCCAATGAACACATGGAGAAAAAGACATGCATTTGTTACCGTAATAGTTTGCATGAATTATTGCAATTAACATGAATGCTTTTGCGTGTAACACACTATATATCTTCAGAAGCAATTTCCAGATTTCTTTTATTAAAATAGTATTAACTTTTACAAAAGAAACAAAATTAAATAGTCAAGCATACAATTTCAGTTGCCATAATTTCCATATCAACTTCCATTCTAACTGAATTTATATGTGTTGGTATCGAAACATTGACCTTTAGTGTTTTTAATTTGACTACTCCATCACTATAACAACTGGAATTCAATAATGAGGAGTATGATTTATATATTGCAATCAATTCAATTGTCTAGTATTGTCATCTAACGTATTAATTTTAGGAATCTTTAGGATCAAGCAGACATTGCTTTAATTTAATATTCTTTAAATTGTGACCTATTTATATATCAAGTTTAAATAACATCGAGACTACGGTATAAAGTTTACATATATTAAGATCCAAGATGCAGAGAAACTGAGAAGCATGCATGCGCACGGACGGATGGACAAACATATTGAGAGCATAACTATCATCCCCTCCGGTGTTAACCGTGGTTGATGGCTTACAAATTAACATATGTAAATAAGCAAAATGTTGAAGAATATTTTTTTGTTTTTATCGGTTCGTGTTATTATCGTCAGTATTTATTTTTTGTAGTAGCAAATTTTTATCAGGTGCACTGTAAGTATTTTTTATCCTTTTTTCATTTCTTATTCTTGACTTTTACAACTTAAAGAATTATATCTTTTAAAAAAAGCAATCTTCAAATGATATCTTACTTCATACATAGGCTCTTCTGTGATTGTCTCATAATTCAAATCTTCATAATAAATCAGAACCCTCAGAAAGTTGTTTCTATAGCTGTGAAAAATAAAAATGTATATAAGGATTACCAGTACCGTCATTACTGCATAATATTAACCCTTACTCTGCCATTAGCTTTTGCCGCTTTGTAGACCGAGGTTGACCTATTCTGGCTTTTTTCTCTTCATATCCTCGAAACAATTATATAAAGTGTCTCTGGTCAAGTCCACTTCAGGTTTTTAGCGTGGTAAGTATTAATATAAAGATATTCAATTTCAAATTCATTATAATAAGTAAAATTGACATGAACTAACAATAAGTCTTGTATCGCATTGTATGACGCCATTGTTACAAATGGAAAGTATAATAATATATAATAAAGATTGGGGAAATCAATTAACTTTGTACAGACGACGAATTGTGACTAAATGTGTACATACTAGTCTAGCTCATAGTTTTGCAAATAACTCAAGCTAGAGCATGCGTAACTCCAGAAATGTGTTGTGTTCTTCGTTTTACATATATCTGATATCAATATGTCCTGAAAAAATACGAAAGTATCGCTCAATAGTATTTTAGGAAACCGACAATGATGTAACAATCAAGGCAACTGTAACGTCACCATTACAAATGCATGTAAACAACTGATACCTTCAGCTTCATAAGCGATTGATAAACAATGCTTCACATGTAATCTTAATAAATTAATTAATTGAATAATTAATAAAATAAGGAAATGAATTATTAATTAAATAGATAAAATATATGAGTTTCATAAAACAAACATAAAAGAAACCATTTATTTATACATTTACGTATATCTATTTATTTATTTCATCACATTGTTCTCTAAATAATTAAGACTCAAAATAACTTAACAAATAGACGAAAGGATTCATTTATCCATTTGTGAACAACAATTTCATAAAAAATGCAATGTCTTAAAAATATGGTGTATTCCGATTATCCCTAGAAGCGAATCAAGATTCCTTGAAATTATATTAACAAAACCAGAGGAAAATTATGTTTTGGTAGACTCATGCAATTCCAGCATTTTTAAAATACAAAAAAAAAAAATCACACGCCTTTAATCAAACAACAACATCACTGTGGTCATACCACGTGACTTTTCAGGTACGATCCACGCAGATTTTCCAACCGTTTCAGGTATGGTTTTAAATATAACCTTGCTATTATAAAACAAAACAGACAACTTACTAGAAATCGCATGTTGTGATAAATGGGTGTGTACCGTTCCCCTGGACTCAAATGTTCCGAAAATCATTAGGGGGTTTTAACCGTTGGTAGTTTATATGATTACGGGTACTCTGCGCCTTATCTGATCAAAATCGGTTGAGTAACCGTACCGAAAATGTCACGCGTTATGGCCACATTGACAAATTATAATTTAATAGACGAACCAGATAATCGTTATTTGGCCAGAAAGTAGATGATAACGTTTTAGCGTAGACAGTTTCCCTGGAAGAAATAGAGAAACACCTCGTGAACAAAAAAGCAAGAAAAAATAATAATGTATGATGATATAGACAATATTCACGTGACGCCGCTACCAATTACTACCGGGCACCATCTGGGGTGGCCTCTCTAGGGCACAGAATAGAAACGTGGGCGCACTCATACTATATTGCTTACATAAAATTCGATTCTGATCGTTTTCCGATGTAACGAAAATATATTCTAAGACATGGCTTATTGTCACTAGACATTAATAAATTTGCCAAATAATTGATCATGTATATGCAACATGTTTAAAAGTATTTGGATTACGGTAAGCAGTTAACAAATGCTTTTAACTGCACTAAACTTGTACCTGCAGAGTAGAAAAGTGTCTTATTAATTCTGATGTCTCAAGAACCATCGACAGAGATGAAATCAATAAAATCGAAGACTTTGTTTGATCAAGGATGTTTAAGTAATTGTTTTTTAGTATTTTTTGACCAATCAAAAGAATTGATTCTTGTACTTTTAAAATGAGAGTATCCAAATAAGGTAGCTAGCGAGTATTTTTGACGAATAATATATAAACAAGTGTTTGTATTGTATTTTTATATACATGGTCATTTATGTGTTTCTTTTATTTCGTCTAATGTAACCATGACAATTGTTAAAATTTCAGTTGGCGGGAATTTATTTTTAGGAATATATTTGGGCCAAGAATCAGTCTGGCGCGCCTTAAAAACGTTTAAACACAAATATTATATGTGAAATGTTAAACGTTTTGAATGTTTGCACGTTTTGTGATGTCCTTTTCTGTTAAATTGTCGTTAACTGTTAGTATGTTTTTCCCGTTACTCCTCTTATTCCGTTTTGTGCCCTACCCAAACTCATTTTCCCCTTAAATGAAACCGTTTAATTCCCGTATTGGCCCCCTTCAGTTTTTATAATTTTCCTTTTTGCATATCCCCCTCCTTTCACCACCCTTGTGTCTTCTCCACGTTTTGTTTCGTTGCCTTCTGGGTACCCTACTGGTGTGACTGAATGGTGTCAGGGGCTGCGTTCTGTGACCGTTGCCCTGCCTTGATTATCTCTATTCTCATTATTTTGTGACACATAACAATTATAGCTCTCGTCATCTCTGAAGCCAAGCACAAATTGACCTGATCTCCTGCACCACCTCTCATGTAATGTGACAATAAAAAACGTTACAATAAACTGTTATTGACGACCTTTTAGACTAGTGTTTACCATACAAAGATGTTAAAAATGGAATATCCAGCTTAGGGGTGACGTGTTCTTCACAAGTTTTTCCTACTTTTGATTGATACTTTATATTTGTATGAAACATCTCCATAGAATAATACATACGCCTTTGGGCCAAAAATCATAATTGTGACATATCATTATTATATCATATAATATATTTGCAATATTGTAAATACATACTGGCATGGTCCATTACAATGACAAGCAACTTCACCACTATCGAATATTATATCCACTGAGAGAAGACATTTTTCCACTAAAAATAGAACAAAACATTAGCATGAGTTTCAGACCATGAATCGTTAATAGAAGAAATGTTGCCAATAACTAAATATGTACTTATCTTAGAGGTTAAACAGTTAATTTTATATAAAAAAAAATTGCTACTTTTTTAATGACAACTCTGCAAAACCCCGACTTTAATTTTGTTCCAATTAATAGGCATACCTTTGATTTTAGGACTTAGCTGTGCAGGTATATTATCATTATAAAACAAGAGATGTTTGTGAAACACTTATGCCCCGGCTGTGTATGGGCAGTGTACGTGGCAATGAAATTTACCTTTTGTTAAGCTTTCCTAACGGTAAAATATGTTATCCACAGATAAATCAGTTCCAGTTCATATCAATGTAAAATGAAAGAACTTTGTAGCCGTTAATAAGCTTAAACGGTTGGGAAACCCATCGGTATCTGTAATTTGCCAATCAACTCTCTATATTTAAATTAGAAGGGCGGTCGATTCACTTCGCGCATGCGCCGTGAGTAGCAAAATAAACACATGATAACATGTATACATATTTCCCCAACTAATTTTTTCTGTGATTTCAAACGCTTCCGGAAAGAACAAATTTCTCACCATTTATTTACCTTGACTTTACGTTTGCAAAAAAGGATATTTCTGCACTACAGCTATTTTCTTACCTCTCTTTCAGTACTGGTAATTGTTATTATTGTTCAAAGAATTTTGTGTAATGCGCGCGCTTCCGATCTTCTATTTTTTTATATGTACGTCACTGAAGCGTTATTTATAGGTTTAAAAAAGACTAATCGGTTTGACGGTGTAATTTTCGAATATACAATCGCCTAAATATTTATTTTGAAACAAAAAAGAATTGTTGTTATTTTCTAAAGAAAATATAGTCTTAATGTCGCTTTAAAATCAAAAGGGTCATCTACCTGAACTAACTGCATCTACCTATCATTTTAAACAAATTTCTATTAACGTATATATCCAAAGTACCTCAGTTCAAGAGCATTCAAGAAATAGTCTTCTACATCATATCTTTGGCCAAAAAAACACGTTTCTCATGATATATAGATATCAGTAAATTATTTGTTTAACCTTTTGCAGAGATAATGAACGGAAAGAAAATAACTGAACTTTTCCAAGTCTAAAGGGCATACCTCTGTCAAAAATTGCTCGATCGTACTCAAAACAAATCTTGACCTAGATATTATTATGATAAATCTGTATACAAAATGTCATTATAGTGCGAAGAAAATGAACAGAATTTGCAAATAATAAGAATTTTTCTAAGTCCAAGGAGAATTACTCTGTCAAAAATTCCTCGATTGTACCCAAAACAAAACGTGACTAAGATATTGTTATGATTTATCCATATACCAAATTATATTTTAGTAAGTAGAGCATGTGCAAAGTCTGCGAAGGAAATTACAAAAAAACTGTTGGTGGACCTACAAACACAGGTGGCAGTATCAGTGTTTAGACACCACCCCTATCTGCCCCTGGACCCCTACTACAACCCTGAAAAAAAATGCAACACTCTAAGGCTTACTATAAGGTACCAAATACAAAACCACCGATGAAATTATATAAAAAAAAATCCACTATCAAAATTATAGTTATAGAAAGGTGAAAAGCCTACTATATGTTCATTTGCCAAACAATGTGGAACACGGGAAATCGTCGTTTCGGTGACTGAGGCGCATTCCGGCAGGATTTCGCTGCATCATTCATTAACATTAATAACAAGCAATTATCATAGTATTGCAAGCAATCCATAAGTCCCCTACCGGTTAGAACCCCATCAACATTCTGAAGGGCCATTGGCCATTCACTTATGTTTCAATTTTTCTCTATTTTAAGTAAACTTGTTGGAAAAGTTCTTTAAAAGTGATCACAGGAAACAGTTTTTATGAACAGACAGACAGACGGACTGAAGGACACTCTAAAGTTAATATTTGAAACATCCCTTTTACCAAAATATAACATTTTAAAAGCAGAATTCTTAAAGAGGAGATAACTCTTGAATTAAAGATGCAATTTCATAAAAATTTTCAGCTCTTTTTGACTAATCACAAATATTGTTATATTTGCCATGTTTTAAGCCTATTTGTTGCCAAGGCAACTGATATTTTTTCAAAATAGGAAGAACAGAATAAGACATGCATAATCTCAACACTGCTATCTACCCATATGTCAAGTTTCATAAAAATATTTCCAGTACTTTTTGAGTTATCACTAGATTCAGTTTATGTGTAAAATTTGCCATATTTTCAGTCTATGTGTTGCCATAGCAACCAGAATTTTCAACATAAGAAGAAAAGAAAAAGACGTGCATAATCTCAAGACTGCCATCTACCCATATGTCAAGTTTCATAAAAATATTTCCAGTACTTTTTGCTTTATCACTGGATCCAGTTTATGTGTAAAATTTGCCATATTTTCAGCCTATTTGTTGTCATAGCAACCAGAATTTTCAACATAGGAAGAAAAGAAAAAGACGTGCATAATTCCAAGACTGCCATCTACCATAGTCAAGTTTCATAAAAATATTTCCAGTACTTTTTGCTTTATCACTGGATCCAGTTTATGTGTAAAAATTTGCCATATTTTCAGCCTATTTGTTGCCATAGCAACCAGAATTTTCAACATAGGAAGAAAAGAAAAAGACGTGCATAATTCCAAGACTGCCATCTACCCATATGTCAAGTTTCATAAAAATATTTCCAGTACATTTTGCGTTATCACTGGATCCAGTTTATGTGTAAAATTTGCCATATTTTTAGCCTATTTGTTGCCATAGCAACCAGAATTTTCAACATAGGAAGAAAAGAAAAAGACGTGCATAATCTCCATACTGCCATCTATCCATATACCAAGTTTCATAAAAATATTTTCAGTACTTTTCAAGTTATCGCGGGATCCAGTTTTGTGGACGGACGGACTGACGGACTGACAGACGGACGGACAGACAGACGGACGGACAGACGGACGGAGGGTAAACCTAAAGTCCCCTCCGGTAAACCGGTAGGGGACTAAAAAGAACTAGAATTCCACAGCTTATCTAATTCAAGTCTAACGAATATCACTATCAATCCGATTTTTTCTGTTTCACGGTATTTTTTGAATTGTCGTAGCCATTTTGCAGTCTGATACCTGGGTTGAAATACGCGATCTGATTGGACGAGCCAAATTTGACGTCCAATCAGATCGCGTATAACACACAGGTATCAGAATCCAAAATGGCAGCGACAAGTCAAAAATTACCGTGAAATAGAACAAGGTTAGCTTTTAAAAAAGCTAGTAGCGACTCGCTTCGTAATTTTTTTCAAGGGGTGTGTTTAAATGTAAAAATGACAGTTCTGTTAGCTGAAGAGACTTCAGCGAACATCAAAATAAACGTGCAGTCAATACTGGCCCGATGCCCGATGACCAGTGTAAATAAGTTCAGGCCAGTGTAAATTTAAGAAAATTTTGTTAATTATTTAGTAGAATAAATTCAAAACTGGAATTCGGGCCGGTAAATTCAAAATCTTAAACTCATTGACTGAAAGTGACATATAAAGTTCTCTCAGTTTAACCAAGATGAGTATGAGTATATATGAAGATGCATGTAAACAGATAAAATGAAGTCCCTATGTCTATGCACATTTACCATATGGCCTGTTGACCTTGACCACAAAATGTTAGATAGGTAGATTTCATAAAGATGTCTCTTTATACAAAATTAAGTTGTAATATGTTATTTAGTATTGGAATGAGAGACACAAGTCCTAAAGTAAACACAAGTTGTCAATCAATTCAGCCAGAAAAGCCGGGATCCTATTAAAAAATATAGGGATCCAGGAAATTGACCAGTCTAAGAAAATGTTTTTCAGATAAGCCGGGATCCTATTAAAACATATAGGGATCCCGGGAATTGACCAGTTCAAGAATATAGTTTTCAGAAAAGCCGGGATCGTATTAAAATGTAAATAGATCTCACGGATTGGCCAGTTCAAGTGTATAGTTTTCAGAAAAGCTGGGATCGTATTAAAACATATAGGGATCCCGGGATTTGACCAATTCAAGAATATGGTCTTTGATTTTTCCAATTAATTAGGCATATAATTATAAGTATTGTGATTTCCGCATTTTAAGTTTGTTAATAAATAGCTCTAAATATATCTATATTCTAAGTTAAATTAATTTAACGTTCATTATATACAATAAAAATATTTAACGTTTAATGGCCTTTCATTACGACAACAATCAACACAAATATAGTTCATTAGGTTTTTCCTCAATATCTTATACGATCCCGGATCCCGGGCGTCCCGGGTCCCGGCCAGTAAATACATACACTGAATATCGGAAAGGATAAAATGACCGGAAAAAAGGAAAAATAAAAAATGCACAGAACCAGATGTACACTTATGTTAATTAACCAAACGAAAACTTACTACAGAGAAAACAGGTGAAATCGCTAAATCAAAAGTCAGTGTAAATATGATTTATTGAAAAGAATTCATAAAGACAAACATTTTAATCATCATTATATCTTTGCGCTCAAAACAATACTTGCTGATTTTTAAAAATGGCGTGAAAATTGAAGGTTTTTTGACGCTTTGTAAGATTAAATTTGATTGGCTAAATAATTTTGGATCCTAGCCCTGATAGATAAATTTTGTAGAAAGCTGGAAGCCAAGCTTCGATTAAATTTTTGGATGGCTTCGGAGTTTTAGGTTGTTTCTCAGTAAAATCCTAACGTAATACCGGCTCGCCGTGGCGAGCCGGCAAAAATCGATAGAATATTGATATTCGTTAAACTTGAATTAAGTAAGCTGTGGAATTCAAGTTCTTTTTATTGATGTAAATGAATGATGCAGCAAAATGCCTTCGGAATGCGCCTCAGTCGCCGAAACGACGATTTCCCGTGTTCCACATTGTTTGGCAAATGAACATATAGTAGGCTTTTCACCTTTCTATAACTATAATTTTGATAGTGGAAAAAATTTTTTTTTATAATTTCATCGGTGGTTTAGTATTTGGTACCTTATAGTAAGCCTTAGAGTGTTGAATTATTTTTTTTCATGGTTGTAGTAGGGGTCCAGGGGCAGATAGGGGTGGGTGTCCAAACACTGATACTGCCACCTGTGCCTACAAACCGACAGACAGACAGACAGACTGCAAAGCAATATAGCCTCCCTTCTTTAAGGTAGTGCATAAAAATAGAAGAAGAAAACTGAATCCCTTAGGAATGCATTAAACGGCAAAACCGAAAACGCATTCGTTTATAAATCATTTTGAAAAATTCACATTTCAATTTGCAAAAAGAAATAAAATACAATTTCATAAATGTGATAGGCTATTTTAAATTAGTCCTTGTTCATGTTCGAAGTAATTAAGTTACCTGTTTCATCTGTGGTATTACATACTGGTAGCGCAGTGGAGTTTAGGTGAACTTCATCGGGGGCCTCAGCAGGGATACAGTCACACTCTTTGATTGCTTCTAAAATACGACAAAATTCGTAGCAGGCCTGAAACAAAAAAATCTAGAAACAAAGTGATCCCTCGGATACTTTAATCACAACAAAATTACATGAAAATTGCAGGTTCTTTTTAATTGAATCTCTACACGAGGGATAATGAATAATTGCAACATCCCTCATGCCCCTTAGAACGGCTTGAAAGGTACTCAATTATCCACACTCAATAGTGCTGGCAACAATGAAGTCAAATGTATGTGCTTTTCTTTGGAAACTGAGGTCTTTAAAAGTGCTTTGCCAACATTGCAACAAAGAAAACTTTCCTTTTTTAGTTATATAAAGTCTGTTGATCACTTGAAATGAACGTATTAATTATTCTATAGATTCAAATACATATTAAATAACTAATCGTGACCACTTGTTTTTGTGCTGTTTATTGTTAAAGACAATTTTCCTCTATTAAGAAATAGGCTAGAACATTTTTCTCATAAGTTTCAATTAATTATTCTGTCACTATAATTAACACAATTTACAACAACACCATACCATTTAAAAGAAACCCGTGAAATAAATAACACATCGAAAACAGATACAAGTTGTATTTAAATATTTTTTTTTATTCTTTTGAAACTGATTCGGAATATGAATAAAATATTGTACATCTCAAAACTGGAAATAGAATCGGCATTATTTGCCATTTTTCGTTTCCTTATTAAGAACAGATAACGCATTTATATGTCACAGAGTGACAAAATCCGTAACACCTAAGCTCTTAGATAAATATCAAATATATGTCAAGAAACGTTACAGGATAAGCCAAATTGAAACAACACAAGTGAACCATAAAACTGTATATAAATTTACCGATATACTGTACTTCTTGTTATATCTGGATTTAAATTCTTTCCCGTCTATGCAATTTCCGTGTGGTTTGCCGAGCCTTGAAATGTGAACCTATATTAGATAAAATATACAAGTTCTGATTAAAATATTATATCCTTTAACCATTGGATTGAATTCACTTCAGTGTTTGAGCAGTACCTCCAGACGCTTGCAGAAATCATGATCACAAAACAGAAAAATCATCTTGATAATTCAAAAAGTATTGAATGTTTGACAAGTTCATTTAGGACAATCAGTAAGTGATCAAACTCCTCACAGCGGTTACGTCACGCTTTGCTACTTTAACCACTGCCACCACTGAAATCACGTGATGATAGTTGTATCATGTGACAAAAACATGGCGGCCGGTTTCAGAACGCCAAGGATCCCATATCAAACTGGCAGATTTATAATTACATCCTTACCAGACAAAATAAGTTCAAGACACACAATTTGTTATCACTTTAAAACAAGTGCCGGATCAAATCTTTTTGTGCAATCGTTCAATAACTGTTTATATTCTGCCATTGTTTACTGGTTGTTACTATGCATACGGTGTCACAGTGAAAATATCTTTCGTTATGTTTACAAAATAATATTTAAACGTATAATTTTTTACTTTCTTGTACATTAAGCATAACTATTTAACGAAAGAAAACTAAAATGATATTAAGTATTCTATTTTAAAATTAAAAGTGAAAAAAATATATCCGGCTATATTCGACCGAATTTACTTGTGGTGGCAGTGGTTACTGTACAGATCAGGGGAAGTAACCGCTGCGAGGAGTTTGGTAAGTGATAGGTAAAATAATGAATTGAAATTCTGGTCTATTTATCAATGCAAATCTATTGTGGTGCTTCTTCTTTAAGGTAGGATATAACTAGTGCGTTCATTTTTCAACCTCTATAAAATATCGAAACTTAAAACGATCATTCGCCGGCTGCCGGTTAAGACCAGAATATTTCGGGTAACTGTTAGCGGTGGTAACGGGGCTTTGCTTATTTAGATGAAAAAAGAAAGGGTAAATTCAAAGTGAGTAGATCAATATAGATGCTTAATTATAACTACCATCAAAATCCTTGCAAAACATAACAACAAAAGGTAAAATCTTTACCCAAATTCATTTTTTTTCAATTATATGATAATATCTAATTTAACTTTACCCTTCGCAGACCGATATTGGTTTCAGTTCCAGGGCTAAGTGTGATTCCCTCGTGTGAAGGTAAAGGATATGTACCCGGCTCATGAAATACTATCCGAATTCCGTATCCAGTCGAAAAATTATCAACGTATTCATCGATTTCAACATTCAAAGTCAACTTAAGTGCTAGATAAGATAAAAGAAGAAATCAAAATCGTTGTTTAACGATTAATCAAGACATAAAGTCTTATTTTTTTTATCTTATTTTGTTGGCTCATGTTATATTACTTTATTATAAAGATTGATAATGATTATGATAAAGATGACAAGAAACAAGATTAATATTTGAAAAATTGTGGAATGAAGAGAAATCTATATATATTGTCACCGGTTACCTTTTTAAAATCATGAAAATTTAGACGCGGTGAATACGTCAAATTATGATAAATGACTTAAGTTCATGTCATAACTACACAATAAGAATACATTTAATATTTACCATGGGTAGGTCCGCTCCGCCAGGCAACATAATTCGAGGATTCAATAGTGTAACAATTGCCATATTCAACGGACATGAAATCTTTAAAATGGCTGCAAAAATAATACAAAATAAGTAGCACCAAGCAACCAAACGTATGTACAAAAATATAAAGTAACTTCTGAAATGTAACATTTTCTTTGTTTATTACTCTTAACTTTTTTCGCTTTATATCAATTTTTATAAGTGGTCTGGCTTAGCAAAGTCTACGAAAAAATTTGTGCTCTCACAACGACCGAGAAGTTTATAATATGACTTCAAATACCTATAGTTTCATTCTTAGGTAATGATTTTAGTATGAGCAGTTTCATGCCATAGTTTCAGTTTCATCATGGATACCTTATTTGGTTTATATTTAGATTTATTGGTGAAAACTTATGAAACTTTGTATAATGTTTAAGAACGGACAGGTACTATAAGATTATATGTTTCGTTGTTGTATAAAAACATAAACATTAGACGATTATTATCTTAATTCTAGAAAATAAAATTAAAACACCATTGGTGTCAATAACAAACATACGACACATTTTGAACTCTTCCAGCAAATGTTGCCGATAACATCATATCTTCCTTCTGGTGACCAATTTCCTTCCTTAGTTCCCTGATGTCAAATGAAACATGTTGTATTTTTCATCTACGTTTTAAAGGTTTATACATATACTTATAATAAGTGTTTGACAGATGTTAAGATGCATTTTATTATTTAGGTGACAAGTGTTGCAATAGTTTGATGATGTCTGTTCACATTTAAATTGCCTTGCATTATCTTAAAAATTGATATTTTTTGTAAAACAGTTTTTGTTTACATATCCAATCTGCTACTTCGTTTAAAAATACGATTTGACGGTATAATTAGCTAGATTTCATTTCAAAACAACACATATTTTATAAGAAAATATATTTTTTACTTATTAATCACTGAAAGATTTGATCATTAATTTCATTCAACAAAGATCTATGTTAAAAATTTCGTCGGTCTGTTTAATGTTATTTTACGAAAACATGCCTTGTATTCAGTTTTTTTTTAATAAACAATTTCTTACTTACACGCTTTCATTTTTAATAAGCTCTTTAAAATTCTCAACCCTTTCTTCCCACTCATCTTTAACTGCATTCAGTTGTTCAAAGTAGGGATAATAGTAACTTCCACTCCAGTCATAATAATATGCTGATGAACCACCACTACTATAATCCGAATAATAGTACGAGCCCGTGTAGGAATCTGAACCACCCGAGTAGCTACCTCCACCACCCGAGTAACTACCTCCACCACCCGAGTAACTGCCTCCACTTCCCGAGTCTACACCGCCATTACCCTGGTCAGAACCTCCACTACCTGTCTGGGTACCGGCAGCGTTTCCCGAACTACTATCAATTATATTTGAATGCATCGCATAGTTTGATGACATGGGATTTTCACTTGAAAGGAAATCATATAAGTCTTCAGTTGATAAGGAAAAGTGTTTGTAATTACTTTTTTCCGACGAAAAAATATCTTGGCTTAATTGGCTTGACTCCAAATATATCTCAGTAGAAGCCGTCATAAGGGAAGTGGAAATTTTACTATCTTTAGAAGAAAGGAGGGATGCAGGCATAGCTGTCATGGACGACATCGTGGTTTGTATATAACGGGATGAATCAACAAGATAAGTGTTCAGTATTGATGAAGATGGTACTACATCAGCTGATGAGTAGCCGGCATCTCTTTTGAAACGTCCAACTTTGTCATTTAATCCACCAGATATTTGATGATCAGAGTTAACCACATCATTCGCAAAAACTTGAACTAAGTTTTCATTTCTTCTTGAAGCTGTTGGTTTTACTTTCTGACTTGAATGTTTTTGATTTTGTTCCGACTCTTGTTTGCGATCGATATTAAATGTTTTATGATTATTTTCATGTATTAATCTCTTTTCTGAATTAAAGTCCTTGCTAGTATCATTGTAATTTAATGAAGTGGATTTACTGTTACCACTATCTAATGATTGAACTTTCATGTTGATATCGTTTGATGATTGACTTACTGAGTCTGCCGTGTTAAAATCATTTTCATTGTTTATCTCTCCTTCGTATTCTGACTTTGTTTCCATGAATGCTTCAAAAGGTTCGTTTTCTCTATGAGTTTCTCGCTTTCGCCTTTTCCTTCGTTTTTTACCATAATAGACACTCTGAAGTAGAATTAGATAATTGGAGTTTTTTTTATTTTTCTCTCAGTATTTGAATTTAATTTTTTAAGAAAAAATATTCAAACAATTGCAATAGTTTTTTTAACGGAATTTTATACATTTTTATTACTTTTAATATCAGTCATATATCAATTTTTGTGAAGAATGCCAATGCTTTTTTATATCAAATACCAAGAACATACAAAGTTTAATCAAATTTTTATTTTTAAAACCGAATTTCACGTAACTGATTCACTTTTGAAGTATTTGTAAATAGATGAAACCATCTTGTTTAATCTTGTTCTTCTGTTAAGTTTTTGTTATATTGTTAAAGACAAGGTATGCAACATCCCAGTGCGAAATTTATGGGTGAATTTTTGTTTTTATATGTCCCTCTGTTTTAAGTAATTTTATTGACTTTTGTCGCGTAACGACATGCGCTGTCAATCATGACCATATCAAATCAATACTTCATATTGTTCTTGTTGAAAAAATAGTTTTGTAACATTTTTTACAAGACATATGCAGATTTCCATATGCTTCAAAAATAGGATTAGTTGATATTATTATAAGCTTGTGTCTTAAATCAATATAATCTCTTTTGTTTAACCTGTTGATTATCCTTTGATTTCAACACTTCCGTCAGTTCTTCCGAATTATCGAGCTTGGATTTTCTAACGGGGTTCATGTTACATAGAGTTATAGCAGGAAAAGCTATTGAGTCAAAATCTAGTTTTACGGACGTCTGTACTGGGTAGGAATAGTATGTACTGAAAGAAATATACATTGTTGTTCTTTATAACTACATTGAGTGTGACTGTATTTCAACTGAAATTAAATTTTTATGTAGAATATGCATGCATTTGTTTTAAAGATATACTATCAATATACCTATCCTAAAGTAAAATATTTTACTCACAGAAATATATTGAAACCAATGAAATTCTCACTGAGTATGTCCTATTTGAATAACAGAATGATTAAACGTATTTATTGGAAACTGCGCTTCCTATAACAGGTCAAGTAAAGTTTGTCTCTTCTTAAAAAACTGCCAGTTTTTTACTGACATTATATATTCTATTGTGACCACCTAAAGTGTGTAGAACTTTAAACATAACATAACTACTTTGTTTGAAGTCAAAACATTTTTATTGTGTATTCACAAATATTATCAATATTTTCTAATATCAGATTTGAGCATAGTATATCTTTAAGGCAATCGACGATTTACTTTATCATGATTTACAGAAGACCTGAAACATGTGCATACTAGATATAATTACCATGCAGTCGCATTCACATAACCGAAGAACGATGTCCAACCCTGGTTATTTTCCTTTTTAGAAAAAACTGTGTTGGAATCGAAATAGGTCCTAATAATATTTCGTTCTTGAAATAATAAATAATAAAACATTTCTTCTGTTTTCTGCTTCTGCTTTAAGTACGTGTATTACATTTACATTGGTGTGAATATTAAACATAGAACATACCATATTTTATCATGTTTTCAAAAATGTTTTAAACATTTCCAACTGGAATCCATCTGTAGTATCTAAAACATTGCCGATGCCATTTATACTGCTAAATTTGTATACCAGCATGCATAGGAAAAGCCAAAAATATGCATATAAATGTATATATTATTTGTTTTATCAATTTCATGTAATAGAATAGAAAATAACAAACTTGAAAAGATAGTACAACTGGATAGAGAACACAGAAAAAGCCGCTAGAACCAGTAAACTCCATAACACTTTCACAATAATCTGGCGAGATGACACAATCTTTGTTATTCCATGTAATGAGCTGGACTCAGCCATATCCTGCAAAAAGAGAATATTTTAGATAAACGAAAATTTGGCCATCATGTTGTTGTAGATCCATACAGTGTTTAAATCGGCCCAAACTAATATATTAAGAATTCAGTTTGGAGTCTTTACTTTTTGTTAAACAAAACTGTTTTCGCAGAATTTACTAAAAGTTTCGTGTAATACGGTTAATCCTCTCGTTTACAGATGCAATGAACTGTGCCCGTCAGTCCGCCGTCCGCGAAAACTGGATTCCTTGATAACTCAAAAGTACTAAAAATAATTTTATGAAACTTCAAATATTGATAAATAGCAGTATGGAGATTATGCACGTAATTTTTCTGTTCTTCCTATGGTGTAAAATCTGATTGATATGACAACAAGTATACCTTAAACATGGTTAATGTAGCAATATATTATGATAATTCAAAAAGGTACTGAAAATAATATTTTTATGAAGCTTGAATTATAGACAGATGGCAGTATGGATGTTATGCATTTTATTTGTATTTGACATTCACTTAGAAAAAGATCCAGCTATTGCTACAGTTATATCGCCCGTTCCCGTTTACATTACCATTGCCGTCCAGAAACTTTAACATTGTATTTTCTATATTTCTTTTTGGATTGTCTTCATACTTGGACACAACACTTATGTGGATACGACCTTTGTTATTTTTTTATTATTGGACACAATAATGGTATGGGCAAGGCCTCAAGTAGATTAAATTGATTATGATCTTTATTCATAGATGACCTTTATCGTTACGTTAAATTATTGAAATTTCACAACAATTCTTTGGGCAAGACCTCTAAATAGCTTAAATTGATTTTAACATTCATTCATTTCATTCATCACTGATCTTGGCTTGAAGTCAAATTATTGAATTTTGCTCGACTTTTGCTAAAATTCGACATAACTTTGATAGTATAGTATAAATGAATTGTCTTCATACTCGGACACAGCAATCTTTGGGAAATGACAATAAATGCTAAATCTAGTAATAAATATGGTACCTGATATTTTCAAAGTGTAATAAAATCAAAACTAGACGGTAAAAGTATTTCATATTTTACAAGATCAACTATTATACTTCTTTAAAAATTTAGGGAAGCTTTGAAAACAAGCACTCATTTGGGTAAATTTGAAGGATTTTTTAAATTAGGCTCCCTAGGTAGGAAAATGGTCAGACACGTGGTAAAAATAGGTTGGATTTGGACAGAAGAATACTTACAGCAAAATTGACAATGTTGAATAATTACAATTTGGCATTGACCTTAAAATGACCTTGGCAGTCAAGATTAGTTATTGAATTTAGCTCAGATTGTCATTACTTGTTATTTATTTACCGATTTGATTTATTATATAAATGATAAATATGAATATAGGTACATCTTGTGAATTCTTCAGTAAGCAAAATTTTATTTGTTTCTATATGTAGAACAGCATTTTATTTTTCAATGACGCAACATTAAGTTTTGTTTGAGCAGTTTGCAACATTAATAGCTGGTCAAATATTGTGTCTGTGTATTTCTCATTAAATAAAATGTATATTTCATAATGTTTTTAAATAAGTTTAAGCTTACGAGAAACTTAAAATCCACACATGTGCACTATATACTAAAATCCCCAGTTACATACAACCGGAAGCATTTATGACATGTCTTATGTGACTTTCATGATGCTTCTAATATCAATTTTTACCATCACCATGTTTAAATGCTAGATTTTGCTTAAGCTGGTGCGTCGGTGAGAGTCGTGGACAGTAGCTTGCACTTACCAGTGCTATCCATGCACAGGCATTATCAAACCGAGCCTGCAACATTTTCAATTTGACTTTTCGGATAAATTATTGTGATTCAATTCTCTCTACTTTTATAAAATCGAGATTTACTGGTAAACCGGAAGAAATAACCCAATAAAACGTGTCAAACATGAAAAAGAAAAATGTCTGGTACTGTTCGACAGTAACTATCATGCGTTTCAACTAACAAAATAAAAGAAAAATATAAATAATGAAAATAAAGAAAAAAATAAAAATAAGAATTAAGATATGTAATATTTTGTAAAGATTTAACCTCAAGATGATCATAGTAAAGCAAGTATTCTTTATTTACTGGTGTTTTTCGCAGGGAATAAAACATTTCATAACGATTATAAAGTTCTGAACATGTGACCACAAAAGTCAACGTACACGTCCAAAATAGCTCGGCTGTGGTAAGTTTTTAGTGATTATTTTTCTGTCCAGCCGATTTGAATTATACTACATGGCCTACCGACCGCGGCAATTCCGATGCTGTCGAAAAATGTATTTAGTTTCATCTAATGTTTTGTATTTTATGAGAACATTCAAACAATATTTACAAATTGTCGATGACAACGTACACACTATTGTCTGAAAGTGTTGATGAAAACTTAAAATTCGATACGCATGTCAGTTTTAAGAAAACATTTCAGGTCTACAAATATATGAGAGAATGTTTTAATGAAAAAAGAACTGGTTTCCTGCTGTCATTTTTTGTATTTATTTAAAAATTGAACTACTTACAGAAATGTCAACGTACACATACAGTCTAGAAAATGTCAACGTACACACTCCCAGTTTAGTTTGATATATCATCACAAATAAGCTAAAACAATTTTTAACTTTTTATAATGTTATTTATTTGTTCCTTTGTGGTTTTCTTTTAGAAGAAAAAAATCCAGTTACTTAGACTGCTTAATGCTGAAACAACAATTTTATACTGTAATTATTTAGATCATTTTACAGTCATTTTATAACGTAAACAGCCAGGATAATTTCTTGCTCATTAACCTGGTGCCTTCTGTAGCAACAAAAGTTGCTAATGGCTGGCAATGACGCCTAGTGACTATTTTATAGGTATTACCGGTATTTCAGCAGTTATGTCACTTTAACCCTATTATTACACCACGAACGTTCTATTAACATTATATTTTAAATTATATATCTCCTTGCACTAGTTATGTAATTGCCACATGTTATAGACATTGTTAAGCTTAATAGACGTGATACCCTTGTTGTTTCGCAGCAAATTTTGCCAACCATGTCTGCTAATTTACAAGTCTATGATATGTATTCAACAAAAATGCTCAATTGCCATACATTTTAATAATTTGCATTGAAATCAAAATTTCAAATTCCAGCAAACCATATTATTTGAGCAGAATGTCGGTAAAACTTCTGCATTGTAACAATCATTTCAATATATATTGTGGCATTTCTATAATTACTAGTGGGTCATATGACTGTGGTACTTTTTTAATAATTAAACAATGTCATTGATTCATATCTATAGTTCATACATTGTGCACATAATAAGATGGGTAAATTTATTACTAGTAACCATTTTCCAGTAACTGGTTTCTTGAGCAGTAAAAACATTTTACTAGAAACTTGGTACTAGTAACTAACCATTTAACAAAGGGTGATTGGCTGCCTTAACCAACCTATAAAATGGTGAATTGTTTATAAGATATTTTTTATATAACAAGTGCAAGTAGATATATTCTTGAAAATATAATGTTAATAGAACATTAGTGATGTAATCATATAGATCAAGTGACGCAACTGCTAAACAAGAGCACCGCTAGGCGGAGCATTATATGCCCGAAAGTGTTTTTTTTTTAGTAAAGACGAAGTATTTGTAGGACATGGGACTAAAATAAAGTATTACCTCCTTTAAATAACAATCCTCCTTTGAAGGTTCAATATTGTGGTCCAAATGGAACTTTAAGTTATGTCCCAGAAACTGTTTTCAATTCTAAGGTAAAAGTGACCTTGACCTTTGACCTTGTGAGATCCAAAATCATTAGGGGTCTTTTATCCAATATGGACAATCATACTATGAAGTTTTTGAATATTGTGGGCTAAATAGAACTAAAGTTATGCTCAAGAAACTGTTTTCAGTTCTAAGGTAATAGTGACCTTGACCTTTGACCTTGTAACCCCAAAATCAATAGGGGTCTTCTACCAAATATGGACAATCATCCTATGAAGTTTGAACACTGTAGGACAAATGGATCTTAAGTTATGCTCCAAAAACTGTTTTCAGTTTTAAGGTCAAAGTGACCTTTGACCTTATGACCCCAAAATCAATAGGGGTCTTCTACCCAATATGGACAATCATCCTATGAAGTTTGAATATTGTGGGCCAAATGAAACTTAAGTTATGCTCCGGAAACCAAACTGCTAACGTTTTCAGTTTTAAGGTCATGGTGACCTTGATTTTTGACCTTATGACCCCAAAATCAATATGGGTCTTCTACCCAATATGGACAATCATCCTATGAAGTTTGAATATTGTGGGCCAAATGGAACTTCAGTTATGCTCCGGAAACCAAATGCTAACGGACGGACGGACAGACGGACGGACGGACGACGGACAGACGGACGGACGGACGCCAGGGGGTATAACATAATATGTCCGAAATTCTTTCGGGCATATAAAAACCGATAATATAAAATTGTACATCGGCGTCATCGTCAACCTTGAACCCTTTTGCTGCTACGGAAGGCACAAGTTGGTTGAATAAGAGACCCTTATCCTGACTGTTTACGTTATTGAGATGACTGTAATTACGATCTATATTATAATACGAGCCATATTAATACAGTATAAAGTATAAAAACGGCTGTTTCAGCTAATCATTAAGCAGTTTGAATCTAAAACACTAAAACACAAAAGTACAAATAAATAACATAAAAAAGTTAAAGGTTGTTTAAGCTTATTCGCGATGAAATGAATGCACTCTACACTATTCCCTTTGTAAAAAATAGTAATCATTTACAGTTTGAGAGGGCAATCTAAATTGAAAGCCAACTTTTTTGTTGGAAAAAGCCACCTATTTCAAGTTGCAGCATCATGTTCAGACCACTATGAAATTGGGAGTGTGTACGCTGACACTTTCTAGACAGTATGTGTACGTTGACATTTCTGTAAGTTGGTCAATTTTTAAATAAATACAAAAAATGACAGCAGGAAACCATTTCTTTTTTTCATTAAAACATTCTCCTATATATTATAAGACCTGAAATTTTTTCTTAGAACTGACATGCGTATCGTTTATTAAGTTTTCATCAACACTTTTACAAAATAGTGTGTACGTTGTCATTGACAATTTGCAAATATTGTTTGAATGTTCACATAAAATACAAAACATTAGACGAAACTAAATACATTTAAGCATCGGAACTGCTGCGGTCGGTAGGCTATGTAGCATAATTTAAATCGGCTGGACAGAAAAATAATCACTAAATAAATTACTTCAGCCGAGCTATTTTGGCCGTGTAGGTCACATGACCAAAGTTGCTTACCCATGGTGAAGTGCATAAAGTTTATTATAAATAAGGTCAATTTTTAGTTGTTCAAAGTGTAACAAGTAAGGCCCATGCATGGCACAAATGATATTATGAAATAACGTAAGTGACGATTTTTAAATATTTGTATGATCACGTACAAACAAATTAAGGATTCAATAATAACCATTTACATTAGTCTTATCTCCAGGGAAAACACAGAACATCGAAGTATTGTTAATATCAGCATATTGTCAAAGCCAAGAATCCTATCACTATTTGGTTGTTATTCATATTTCATTGTTCAATCTGATATGAACATATTTTCTTTCAAGTGTTCCTTAAATACCAATGACATGATAAAATATTTTCCTGTATATAGAAACACATTATGATAGTGTACGCTTCGATGGGTATTATAGTTATACAGATTCCAGACACAATGTAAGTTTCTTAATCGGTAATTTCTTAGCAATTAAACTTGAGTATTACTACCCGATGACTTCAGTATCAACAGGGAGTTGAAATAGGCAACGAAATGTATAACCTATCCTTTTCATACTTGGTGACATAATGTTAGTTTTCTCATGTGTCTCATGTATCAAAAATACGCTATGTCCTGATATAAATATCTTTGGACATTCCCACATGGTTGTATAATTAATTGATTTGTCGTGATTGTAGAATTAATTGATACTGTCACGGGAAAATTAGTGAACTATATTCTTTTCATTCAAATTTTTTCCTTCAAATAAAACGTTAATGCATTGTGGTGCTTATTGTTATACTGCAGTTTTGTAAATTATTTTATGGACTTAGTTGTTATTAAAATATTGTCATTGTAAAATGTAACTGAGTCTCAAAAGACCCAAGTTCAAATATTTCACTTTGTCAAGCATTTTGGTTCAACCTATTAATACTGTTAAAGGAATTCTACTGAGTTCTAGAAACATAAAACATGTTTTTACATGTTTTACATAGATCAACGGTGGGACTTAAAACAGAAATACATGCAAAAGATAATCAACATACGTACGTATGTGTAAAAATTTTACATAACTGAATTATGTTAAGTGTAATGGTATGAATATAATACTATGTATAAAAATAAAGAACAAAGGAAAAAAGTATAAATTATACATAAAATAAATCTTATATATGTAAATAATTATTTGAAATATATTCAATTTAATATAAGTACTAATTTTACCGGACTGTTACGATCTTTTATGTATGAAGCTGTGCGTTTGTGCAAAAAGAGTTCCCATGAGTTAAAATGTTTAAAAAAGGAACTTAATAACATAACAATTAATAAGAAAAAAAAAAGAATCTGAATGTACTGTATAATGCATATGTGGAAGTGCAGTTGTTAAAACAATCAGCAATGTTTTAAGTATGTTCATTGAACACCTTGAATTGCATATTCTATTTTCTCCTTTTAAACAGACGCTACAAAATTTATAAGAGACTTAATACTTATACATTCATTCTTCAAATTTACTGAGGTTATCATTTCCATATACAAAAGAACAGGACAAATCAAACACTATTTAAATGTTGTAAATTGAGTACCGCTCTAGCCAGTGCCAGGGAAGTGAAAATGTTGTACTTTGTCGTAACCCTCATGTACGGTCTCAATCCAACCAATTCTGCAATTTTCATTATTATCATCATCATCATCATCATCATCATCATCATCATCATTATTATTATTATTATTATTATTATTATTATTATTATTATTATTATTATTATATTATTATTATTATTATTATTATGCATTTTATTATCATTAATGCTTCCGAGGGATCACACTTTTTTCAGATATTTATAAATACAGTTTATAATACAGTCTTTCGAAATTGCTTTCTCTGAAAAGGGTATGCAAGCAAGTAAAAAATCTATTTAATATAAAAAAATATTTGAATTTTCTTTAGAAATCATTTCCTATTTACATTTTCACCGTTACTATTTTATTCATGTACCGGCAATTTTTATGCCAGATTTATATTCAATTTTGATATATGTACATACATGTATATCATTTTTTACGTGTTGTTTAAAAATCTTAGAATTTTAGAAGAAAAAAATAAACAAGAAAAATGAGAAACAGATCTAAACTGTACTATTTTATTGATCTTTGAAAGTGTTTTGATTAAATATACAGGAATGGAATTTTGGTTAGACCTATAAAAATGGGGATTGGTGGTATATTGTTAAATGTTTGTCATTGCAAACAAATGAACATTGTAAAATATTTCATTTTTGAAATTAGGAGGGGTGTTCAAATATGAATGCAACTAGGCCAATATCTCGCTTTTAGAAGTTTGTACATGTATCGCATAGATTCTTTCGTAAGCTCTCAATTGATACAATACATGTGTTAATTTGTTCAGTCTAGATTAAACAATAGTATGATTTACGCTTAACTACTTCCGCATTGGTTTGGGAAAAGGTCTCATTTCACTGACCAAATACGGTCCTATATCAAGAACCGCTGTATTCTTGGTAAACAGGCGAATGACAGATTTAATGAATTATGTCATGTATTAATGAACAATGAATATTCTTTTTTATCTGTCACACAATAGTGTAAGAAATTTAAAATTTGTGTTTTCAGTAAAAGATACACCTCTTGCACGTCGTCCGAAAAATGCGATTTGAAAAAATAAAGGATTTAATTGCTTCCGATGCAAGATTTACAACTAGGTATATAGGTAAATGCGTTGGTATCTCTGTAAAAGCCGCTCATACAATTCTTAGAAGTGATTAAAAATGAGAAGGATAGTGCCAGATGGAAACCCAATCCAAATCTATTTCAGTTATTTACATTGTCATATTGGATATATGTTGTTTAATTTTTATTCTTATAAATAAATATTATAATTTACATAAGTAAAACATATTTTCTAAAACTACAAACGTTTTATTAAATGATATGAATATTCTTAATCTTAAGGGAAAATATATTCTTTCACATTTCTGCTCGCGATTACCAGTATGTACAACATCAAGAAACTACAACTTTGAAACGAAATTCTCTATATTTCATTAAAGTAGCATTGTTCTTTTAAAATTTCTTAAACTTTATCAAAGGGAATGGTATCATACAATAATATTAAAATAAACGTTACAATATCACGCCAGCAGGTTAAAGTTAACCAAAAACAATGATATGTTTATATATGAAAATAGTAGTACATGTATTAAGTATAAAACGCAAATTTCAAAAATGAAAAAAATAATTTTCTTTGCACAAATTCCTATCAACTGTTTTTGCAGCACTTACCTTAAGTGTATCTTTGAAAGTTGTGGGTCTGTCATCGTGAGATAGTGCCGCAAAGGCTTCTCCTCTGTCCGACTCTGTTAATCCCTTTTCCTTACTCATTTTCTTTTAAAATATCCGCGTGTTTACTGACAAATATGGGAGAGTTAATACGGAGAGAGTAACAAAAGTTTTAAAGTTCTCTAAAAAGTTTACTACTCTATCATTTAATTGTGTTACCAAACGTTCTTGTAATTATCATGTAAATGAAACAGTTATGAAGAAAATAATTTTTAAACTGAATGTCACATAGTTAATCCATCTGCTTAAGATATTGTGACTGAACTATTTCTGTAATCCTCAAGGTAGATGGTTTTAAAGCAAATCGATTTGTGATTCTGTATCATATTAATTATCAGCACAAATATCAATTAAAATCAATTTACCCTTTTATGTACACTATTAAATACTAATGACCCGATCAAGCAAGCATTAGTAAAAGCATTGTTTCGATATCATCATTAATAATGAAAACTTCAATGACCTGTATAAAGTAAATTGATAATATTTGATTCTTGAACTTTGATGCAAGCTGGTCATTAAATTCCGCACCATTCAGGATTAATGTCTGGAATCCAAATCATCGGGTTTGTTGTCGGATATGATTCTCAATACTTCCATTATTGACCAATTTAAATAAAGTAAGCAATTACAATAAAGAAAGAACATTTATTTAAGAATTAAGATATGTTATTTGTTTTCTACGATGGTATATCTTCATGTGTTACCTTCTTAAAATAAAGAAAATAATAATAAAATTAATAATAATAATAATAATGATAATAATAATGATATGATACATTTCATATGACGTCTAGAGACAGACAATATAATTGAGTCTGTCTTTTCTGCACTGGCATCACCTTTGTATTACTTGTAGATGGAATTGATCCCTGTTTTGTGTATCTATTGACAAGACGGGTATTTATTTAAGACTGTGCGATGGCCGGTCATTTAGGGTAAAAAGATAACAATTTATTTCATATTTGTTAAAGATACAATCAATTATACATTGACCAAACCATTGCATTATTGTGCGAACAATGATAATACCAATAATATCTCTATTGATCATTATTGGTACAAACAATCTTTGGTAGGTAAGGTCATGCATCCTGTCTTTAGAGAAGTTACACAGCTTTTGTTGTGATGGTATGTATCTGGCCTTTTCGTTGGCAATTACTGATAAGTTAAAATTTGCAACACTAGCACTAAACTTCTTTTCTATTAGAGAAAAAGCCGTAGTGTCAGCAATTAAAATGCCAACATCTGTTTACGTTTGTTACAGAATTGATCTTACTTCGTCTATGGAACAAACCAGTACTTATCAATTAGTTTAAACTCTAATAAATTGTTCTGGAAAAAAAATCTTACACTAATCATACATTAAATTATCTATTAAATTATAAATTATATTTAAATGATAAATTTCTATTGTATTTGTCAATATTTAAAATAATGAATTGTATCAATCGTGCCCATCGTGGACCAATCCACTTTAATCAAATTAAATCGAAAGTGTCATTTATTGTTTTTTATCTGCTTAATATTAGAATAGTTCGGTGCGAAGCGCCTCGAATTGTTACATGTGCAGCTAAATAATTGCTTGCAAGCTCCTTCCAAGAGTTGGGTTTGGACACTGTAGAGTCCAAACGTCAGAAACATAAGCAACTCCTCTACTATAGAATATCCAACCTAACGTCACCTTATCTTTCTTTTTATGTCCGCCTGCAGTCGAAAACGAAACGCGCGAAGATCGTAGAATACCAAGAACAGTGTTATATTACGAAATTATTCCTCTCAGAAACAACCTGAAAATGTAATGACTTTCCTACTTCTCTAAGAAATGCGGCCAATAATGGAATTACTTGAAACACCGCATTTCTTCTACATGTTGGAACTTCGCTGAATTATATGTACAAATCTAATTTACAAGTTCGTATTTGTACAAACTGCACCTTATGTGCTGATGATTATCCACCAATCCACCATTTCTTTGTGAATATGGGATCATCAGACAGACTCTCATTCTTTCTTCCACTGCCGTCAGTATAATATTATCAGACCTTCTTTGATAAACGTCATCAATACTCTATAATGTTCTGTAACTTTTAAACTCATTTCTAATCGGCGATAATGAAAGTAGATTCAAAGCTGTTTCCACTTATATTTAAAAATCAAAACGTTTGCCCGAATTATTCATTTAAGATTTCATTTTATGCTCCATCCAATTCTATAGCTTTACTCTTGAATCTGTATTTCTTTCATCTTCTTTATAAAGACAAACTTTTGGGCATTTTCCTATGTTAATAATATTAGGTTCTGTTTGTTATTATCACTGCTTTTTGTTGTAAAATATCACGTTTTGTTGTAGTTATGGTAGTAAACTTTAAATGTACCAATTCACCAAACTTTCTAATTAAATACTGTTGTTATAAGATTGATTTTATCGAACGATTTTCCTTGTTTTACATGTAATGTTACATGTGTCTTTACATTACACACATTTAATATTCCGTTTTGTTTTTGTTTTATGTTAAGCGTATGTAAGTTGATGAAAATATAGTTCAAAACTGATTGATGTTGTTTTATTTTATTCATTTATTGAAAATTTCTTTTTTCTCTTTCTTTTTTTGTTAATATTTAAACTTGTTTGAAGTATATATTAAACAATTAACAGCACAAAACAATAAAAAACATGTAACGTGTTAGTAAACTGGTAAAAAGATAACTTTCCAGATCTTGTCAATAAGTTCATGACTTGATTACCTCCCCTCAATTGTCTTTCTTTGCAGATTTTATAAGAACTAGCTGTTGCTGTTGTTGCTGCTGGTGATGATGATGATGGTGATGATTGTGATGATTCTGGTGGTGGTGATGATGATGATGATGTAATGGTGATGATGATGGTGATGGTGATGATGATGATGATGGTGGTAATGATGAAGATGTCGGTGATGATGATGATGATGGTGATGATGATGCTGATGATGATACTGATAATGATGCTGATGATGATGATGATGCTGATGATGATGATGGTTTACGTTTGTTACAGAATTGATCTTACTTCGTCTATGGAACAAACCAGTACTTATCAATTAGTTTAAACTCTAATGAATTGTTCTGGAAAGTAATACTCTTACACTTATCAAGAATATTACAATTATCACACATTAAATTATTTATTAAATTATAAATTATATGTGAATGATAAATTTCTATTGTTTTTGTCAGTATTTTAAATAATGAATTGTATCAATGTGCCCATTGTGGACCAATCCACTTAAATCAAACTTAATCGAAAGTGTCATTAATTGTTTTTATATTCTTAATATTAGAATAGCTCGGTGCGAAGCGGCCCGAATTGTTACATATGCAGCAAAATAATTGCTTGCAAGCTCCTTCCAAGAGTTGGGTTTGGACACTGTAGAGTCCAAACGTCAGAAACATAAGCAGCTCCTCTACTATATAATATCCAACCTTACGCCACCTTATCTTTCTTTTTATGTCCGCCTGCAGTCAAAAACGAAACGCGCGAAGATCGTAGAATACCAAGAACAGTGTTATGTTACGAAATTATTCCTCTCAGAAACAACAAGAAAATGTAATGACTTTCCTACTTCTCTAAGAAATGCGGCCAATAATGGAATTATTTGAAACACTGCATTTCTTCTACATGTTGGTACTTCGCAGAATTATATGTACAAATCTAATTTACAAGTTCGTATTTGTACAAACTGCACCTTATGTGCTGATGATTATCCACCAATCCACCATTTCTTTGTTAATATGGGATCATCAGACAGACTCTCGTTCTTTCTTCCACTGCCGTCAGTATGATACTATCAGACCTTCTTTGATAAACGTCATCAAGTCAAGTCAAGTAAATTTTATTAACAAGTCGGATATATCAACAATAAACATAAGCTCTGATGAGCTTTTTGCACCGACTACAATAATATAAAGCACATGTTTAAGATATGATAAATGACGAAAATGGTTATGATAAAATAAGACAAATAGCATTGCATTAACAAATAGAGTAGACAAACAGCCCTGTACTAGCATTCATCAGTAGCATACAAAAGTAAGAGGTAATACATATAAGATCTAATAAAAAAATCCATTAATATACATACTAAAGGTTAAGATCACACATCACAGCTTATATAAAACACACAAACATTTAAGCAGAGGAACATCAGGCATTCATACACACATTAAAATGCATAGACAAACCAACTTATAAAAAGAGCAAATTATACATAAATAAATAAAACATGGTTAGGACTAAGCAATAGAATGACAAGGTTAAAATATGCATAATGAACATCAATCCAGACATTAACATACACACAAACATTCAAGTTATACATGTATATAAAAGATGATACATAGCACATAACAAATAGAAATAAATCTATTACAATAAAAGAACACAAAAGCATAGCACATAAAAAAATAGAAGTAAGTCTATCACATTAAAAGCACACAAAAGCAGCTCATATAATAATTAAAAGAAGCACATCAATACCCTATAATGTTCTGTTCCTTTTAAACTCATTTCTAATCGGCGACAATGAAAGTAGATTCAAAGCTGTTTCCACTTATATTTTAAAATCAAAACGTTTGCCCGAATTATTCATTTAAGATTTCATTATATGTTCCATCCAATTCTATAGCTTTACTCTTGAATCTGTATTTCTTACATCTTCTTCATTACTTTTTAAAGGTTTCCTATGTTTATAATATTAGCTTCTGTTTATTATTATCACTGCTTTTTATTGTAAAAAATCACATTTTATTGTAATCCTTCATGGTAGTAAATTTAAATGTACCTATTCATCAAACTTTCTAATTAAATACTGGTTGTTAAAAGATTTTATCAAACGATTTCCCTTGTTTTACATGTAATATTACATGTGTCTTTACATTACACACATTAAATATTACGTTTTGTTTTTTGTTTGTTTTATGTTAAGCGTATGTAAGTTAATGAAAATAAAGTTCAAAACTGATCGATGTTGTTTTATTTAATTCATTTATCAAACGTTTCTTTT